AGGTTTAGGTTTTACCTATTCGATACAATCGTGTCCCATCACTCGTGATACCTTCCTACCTCCATGCCTTTTTATTATCTGAAGTCCTTGGGGGTAATCCGAGAATATCGTAAACTCACTTCCGCAATCGCAGCCGGGTCGAGCAGACGTAGCTCCCAATATATAAAAGCTGAGAAGTCAAGTATCACGGCGATCGACGCGTTTGTCTCGCGAACAAGTGATATAGAGTGTGGTGCACCACTAGGAAATAAGACGCGCGTCCAGAACATCGAGCACGCTGGGACGTAGTGAACCAGGTACGCCCCCATCCTTTTCCTTGTGAAATTTTTTAACGTAAATTTGTGCATGGTCATTCTCAAGTTTCAAACACCTATGTTCATGTGGTCATGTATATTTGTTTATATGAACTTAATTTATGATTTGATATGTGTTTATTTTTTGTCAAACTTAAGTTGGAGGCTGCTAATTGGGTTGTGACGGTTTATACATTCATACTAATGAAATTTCGATACAATTTATATCTTAATATAGTGTAATAATCTTATATTTGTCTTGCATGTGTCCCGATGTAACAGTGCTTCGAAGAAATAACATTATTGTTATGGGAAATTATTTTAATTTTCAGTACATGCAGGTGATCGGAAATTATTAAGTTCGTCAGAAATAATTGCTAAATTATTGTAAAATAACTTAAGTGAACAATATTTGACTTCTAATAGAGATTTGTATTGGCATTATCTCAATAAATTATAAAGATTTATTTTAACTGAGAGCATATATTAGCACAAAAATTTCCCATACAGCCTATTTTCTTATAAGTGCATGTACTGAAAACATAACTGTTAGGTATTTATATAGGTAATTTCTTAACAAACATTAAAGGGGTTGTTGCGTATTTATTAATACAAACTTACATTATCGGGTGTAGTGTTTACTTTCAGGCGCTTTGGTCAAATTTATATTTCATACTTACATACGAACTGATGCATGTGTCAATTCATGATTGTAATGCAGTTTGCATGATAATATTATTTTTTTTATTATTGAAAACTTAGTTTATTGAAATGTCTTTATAAAATTCGGCTTTTAATTGTGCATATGTTATATATAATTGTAGAACTCATTAAATATATGTAGATTTGACACTTCACTGACGCAAAAATAAATCTACCATGATGTTAAGGCAATCTGTCCACTCATTTAGGCAGTTAATATGGAAACATTTGAGAGTTTTAGTATTTTACTTAAAAAAAAAGGATAGTTGTTATTATAATGTCTAAAGATTCTATATATTTTCGCGTTAACGTCACATCTACATTACATCTAGTGTTTTATTTGTATTTCTACATATATCAATATCTATACGCGGCTCTCATTGTTTTGATTATTTAGTGTGTGTAGTGTTGCAGATGTAGGCCAGTGCCGGGGTTGCCTGCTAACGAGAAAAAAATATACCAAAAAAATTGTACTTTATACATTATGTTCGCCTGTTTGCCATGTTCCGTTTGTTCTGATTGCAGAGTTCCCGAAGGAGGAGTAGCGATTGGACCGAGACGGCTTCCCTTATAGATTGTAGAGATTTCGTATTAAGTAAACACATTCGGCAACCGTTTTGAATGTACCCACAATAAATAAAATTCATAAATTTAAATAATCATCCAGTCAATTTTTTATCTTAAAAACTAATATTACAGATGTATTTTCTAAAACATAGGTTTATATGACATAGTAATAAATAATATTATTTCTTGTGGGAGACAGCAGGTATCCATTTTATTGAATTTAAACTTCGAATGTTAGAATATTCACATAATTCAACGGCTCTGTGGTTTTTTACTGTAACATTTAACTGATTGTGTATTAACATGTGTCATATGATATGTCACCGTAATGATTAACTAATATGTATACATATATATCCATGTATGTTGACGTGTCAGTTTGTCCAGGTTAAAAGTAAATGCCACACTGCCTTTAAAGATGTAACAGAATCCGGGATACCCCACGATGCTGTAGAGAAAAAAACAATATCAAATGACTGTGAGATACTTCGCGCCGCGAGGAGTGTCGAGGTAACTGCACTACACGACTGTAACACATACACTAAGTACACATAATACACATGTACAAACATTATTACTAACTGTGTAAATCTTGTGTATTATCCATGGAATGTATCGTTTCCAGTACTAGTACATCTGTAAAAGAGAATTTCTTAGTGTTCAATGTATGTATTAATGTATGATTTGAATCGGTACGATGTCGGATCGATCAACTATGTTTTAAGCTGTAAGTTAGGTGTAAAGAGAAAAATAAACAACCGAGACGGTTCGCCGCGGCCACGGGTCGGCTCACTAGGTTGTAGAACTTAATGTATATTCCCGATATCTGTGCATTCTCTCTTTGTGTATAAGTGTAACATGAGCGGATGTACCTCTCCTCGTGTAATAAAAATTGTTCGTATTTAAATGAAGGTACCGCACCACGGGCGAGCCCGTCTTGTATTAACTTTTAAGATATAAAGTGTATGTTGATTCACTATATTGTGTGTTCATTTTATTTCTAATCATGATTTCTCTCCACAGTCCCCGGCGGTAAGTAAACCCTATCATAGAACTGAGACGCCACCTCAAAGAGTTGCTTACGAACGATGTTTTTCTTACTAGTTATTCACTCATCATCGCATATAAGAATTTGGTTTGGTACCTGGTACACTGTGTATTACTATGTCGTGTTTATTATTTTTGATTTTACATTTCCCTGTGATCGGAGGTCTATCAATTTTATTTTTAGAATGTTCAGTAGTGATTTGATGCATTTTTATGTGATATTATATACAGTGTTTTTTGCATTTTCACAATGTGCCCTTTCACAGTTTGGCTCCCCCCGCTGATGAAATATGCCGCGGTCGCGCGACCTACGCGCCGCATCGATTTCTTATAATGTACAAATTATATTATTTACCTAATTACTGTCCTATGTCTTTTTATATGACTTGATCTATTGATGTTTTTATAACTTGTAGTGAAACTTATTATTTGGTATCTGATCATTTTTATAATGTGTTGCTATATCGCATTATTCATTTTGTGATTATGTATATCACTGCATCATTGTTGTGAGTCTGTTAAAGGTGGGAGACGCGATGTTTCGTAATAATGGTTGAGAGATAATGCTTAAAAACCCGTTGGATAAATATGCGACCGGATAAAACTCATTGGATAACTATGTGTGGAACAGTGTTGTGCTGATTGGTAAGTATTACAATGGTAAACTGCACAATATATTGAAATGTCTGCCCGATATTTTCGGCTGCTATAACGTTGTACGGTATTTGATTGTATTTACCTTATTGCAATAGAAGAATGGTGATGTTTTATTTAATTATTTAATATCAACATTTATTTAAGGTAAATTTAAACACATGTTTGATTCAAAAACAAGTAAATAAAATATACCCAAATACCATATAACTGAATACATTAATAGGGTTATCGACATTGATCAATATAAAATATGGTATATGCACTAAATTAAATATATTGATTGTCCATGACTTTTTGTTCAGATTACACATATTTAGCATGATTATATCACTATTTTTGAGTTGCGTGTCAAACAAAAATCTAAAAGGTATCACGTGACTGCAAACAAAAATCTAAAAGGTGACATCTTACTTGTCAATGTCATTGTCAATACTAGGTTACTTCATCTTAAAATAATAAAAAATAAATTTAATTGCGGTCTTAAAGTCTAAAAAGTTGTAAATTAGAATCAAAAACGTATTTACCTATTCATATTACCATTAAGCCGCACGACCGCCATATTGCTGTTGCTGTTAAAATAAACGTTGTCGTTTTGGCGCAGATTAAAAAATGAAAATGTATACATAATACTTTTATCTTTTAATTTGCGGAAAAAATATTTTTCATGAGGACATACTCCTCTGTACTTTAATTTTAAATAATTTTTGAAAAATTGTCTATAACCCTATAAATTCTGAAATTTAATCTGAGGAATACGCATATATGACTTGAATATCTAATTTTCTCTGTCTACTATAAAATTATGTGCGGAAGGTAATGAATACGACGTTCAACGCATTAAGTAAAAAGGCACAATTTATAGGCGAAATCACATTTATCCTTTTATCATATTCATCGGAAGTAGATCAATGAAGAAGCGCGATACGAATGTCCGTACGTAGGTCCACTTGATGATGATGAATGGTGCGTTAACATCCACTATGTCTTATATATTCAATAACTTACATTGCCGAAACATCACTAGCGAGTTAGGAATCGAACCGTTACATTAAAAAATAAACTGCACCTATAACTATTGCCGAGTAGTAAGTAGCTTATCAAATACGGGGCATGAAATCGTTTACGAACAGCTAGTGATAGTTTCAATAGGCTGGTTGACTGACTGACATGTTTTGGTTACCATTTTCTATTTTTACCGTGTATTATTATTACATATCTGATATATACATAAATACTTAATTTAATTATTATTTTGTTCATGAATTTACAACAATGGAATTAATGTTTTATTCTTATGTATATGTGTATGTACATGTTATTTCCCGAGTTTTATAATTTCTAGATATGATTTTTATGTGTTTTGAAATTGCACTATACAATAGCCATATACCCTTATGCCTTAATTATTTTTGGTTGGTCTACTCATATTTTAATTTTGATACAATTGCATATTTGAATCGTCAGATTTTCATATCATGAAAGTGCAACGGGGATAATAAATTATCTACAGATAGTTTATATTGTTTTATTTCTACACGGTCCTGTTACTAACATTACTCTAATACTAATTATAAACTTGGTAAAATCCATAAAATCTTATATAAACATGTTAACAACGTACTAGGAATATAAAGTTTAATCATTGATTAAAGCTATTTTTAATTACAATACTAATAAGATTAGGAATACGGTCAATAAGAACTTTACATTTAAATATTTACTATACTACTAAAGTCACAGAACTGTATTCTCGTGATCAAACTTCACTGTAAGATACTTTAAATATAACTGACAGTAGCAGCGGTAAGTATACATCATACAACCGTAGTGTTGTTCAAGAATACAGATGGTCCTACGAGCGGGATGTTCGTCTAATATCTTTCTAGCGATTGATCTGTTGACGTTTGTGAAGTGAGAGAGGCTGTCGATGCGCTCGTCGAGCGAATCATTCTCGATAACCTCGACAGTGGAGCAGTCGCCCACGGCTGCAGTGGACTGTTGGTCTCCGGGCCTGGTGATATCCTGTAACGTCCATACTACACAATCTACCAGCAATTGGCGGCAATTCTCCGAAATTGGCAGTGACAAAGCTTAAACAAAAGGCATAGCATACTGCTCTACTTAGGGTTAGTTCATTTATTGAGTAGCCTTGAATAAGCAACTTCAGGCTAGCAAAAGAGTTGCTATCACCGGAAGTATCAGTAATCGTGTGATCACATGATTTATGTGTAAAATATACATCTTTATTGTTAGGTTAGGTTAGGTTATGTTATGTATCGACGGATAATTTCATTAATTACATTTTAATGCCAACATTGTGGACGTTAAAATTGTAGTAATCCACTTTGAATATAATAAAACGTGAACAGTTTCCAAGTAGTGAGAAAAGTATGTATATGAACTGTGGGATTCATCACATCATTTCTTTGCTTCGTAGAAGTAATGCTCGAGACCGTTGTAGGTTTTTTCTGAAATCTACTCTTATAGCCGATTAGTTTGGCTCAACGAAAGATTGTCTGTCATACAAATATTTTTTCTACTTTGAGGAGGAGTAGTAAAAAACCTAGAATCCTTAGTAAATGTCTTAGTAAATGACGCATCTTGATTCTACAGTGATGTAATATTTGAGGTATGGATTGTTGAAGCGAATGTTTGCTTCTTACCGACTTGCCTGTACCAGGTGGGGTCGCAGGTGTACCCCGCATTTGTACTTTCAGTATGTAGGTAGTTAGGTACATACCTGTTTCGTCGAGGCCGAGCAGTTTTTGGGCGAACTCTTTTATCGTGTTTAGTACGTGGGGCTGGTGCAGCACTTTCGACTTCAGCGCCGCTGCCTGTACCTAAAACGATAAATTCAAAATATTAGAAGAAGTGTTGTCAGCCGAAGGTTAAAAGTAATTTCCTCTCTTATCTTTAATTAAATATATTAGTGAATTCGGATTTAGAAAATCCGACTTTCCTTGACGTTCATTGGGCAAATAGAAATAACTTACGAAACTACATAAGACTTACAAAAAAAGAAATTATATGCTGTACCCGTTCCTCATATCAAATCGGTATAAATCAAGCAATAATTAACTAATTGTATCTTGCATGGATAAAATAAACAATAAAGACAAAGACGATTAAATATTATTCTATCAATTTCATATTATCAATTTTTTTTCTGTTAAAAATAAATCACGAATAAGCAATATTAGCTAGTAATACACAAACACTACAAAAATGTTTTTTACTTGTTTATTGTAACATTTAAAGAAACTCATACCTTTTCAATTCTCTTAATAACAATAAACCGGTTTTTTTATGTAAATAAGTTATTTCGGTTTGCAAATCGGCCGGTTATACTGTAAATTCGGTTAACTGAAAAACCGGGTTGCATGCCCTAGTGTTTACTTTAGCCAGTTATCGCCGCTATACTAGTAAATATGGGGTTTAAAGATGTTAAGTACAGCTTTGAAATTAATTATAAGTACAGAGCATTACTAGCTATTGCCAGGCCGACGTGGGTCCAGCAGCGCGCAACAAAGATTCGGTTACCTTCGAAGCTATTAATTTGCGATTTGTCTTTATTTCGTAAAGAACTGATAATAAGGAACTAGGTAGATGGATCAAAACTATTTCAAAATAGAAGAGAGTGGCGCTGCCAGCCTGACAAACCTATTTATAATATTACTAGGATACGCTAACTGAGGCCACGAACTAGAAAAAACTTGAGAAGTCTGTAACTTGCAATAAGATGCACAACCATTAGACTTACTCTTGAAACATAAACTCGATGCTTAATGTCAAATAGTTCATTCAATAACCACCCAACATAGTGTACCGCAATGTCAATCGATCGCGATTGTATTCAAGAGTGAGCATGCTGGTAACACTAATGTTAGGAGACCACGCGAAGGTTTGAGGTTCGAGCGCTTTGATGTGTAACAAAAAAACCGCCTTTGTTTAGAAAATCGCGAATGTCACGAAAAATTCGCAGTTAATCTTAGCGAATTTCGTCTTACACTTATGGATTCGCTTGTTCTTGCGAATGTCTGTCCCGGCATAATAGGTCGACTTACCTACTACAAACAATGAGTGTTCTGCTTGGACCTGTCCTGTAGCGTATTGTATACAAAGAGGTCTCGCTGCCCTCAAACGATCTATCTCGTTCCTCTTGCTTCCCATCGCCCTGCATCATAAAATGTAAAATATTAGTCTAAAGGCTATCTAGGTAAAATTTTTCAGTATTATGCTTTTTTCTGGGTAAACCGGTTATAACTTTCTTATTGTCTTTTATCCAATTTTAATGCCGATCTGAGAACCCCGTGCTAGAGACCCACACGACCAAAAATCGATTCAGTTCAGTTCTTTGAGTGTTTTTGTGTTGAGTGTTCAGTTTTTCTTCATAAATATAATATATCTGGGTTCGTAAATCAAGAAAATTTTCCTTGATTTGGAATATATGGAATTCTATTAATCTTTTACATCTTTCGGATGTTTGAAAATTCCCAGGAATACCAACGTTTTACTCTAGTATAAATATAGTCAAGTAGAAAATGAAATAAATCTTAAAACTTACAAAATATTTCAATCAATGAAATAGAATTTGAATGAACAAATTAAGAACTGTTAAAATTTAAAACAAAATTGCAAAAAGTTTAAAATATTGACAGTTTTTGCCAAGGAAAAAGCTGTACGAGCTAAGTCCCTTTGCCTTAAATCGCGTATTATCATTTATGTCAATATGGCGTCAGTCTCGTGTTCTGTGAGTCAGTCCTTTGGAAATGGTAGGTTTTTTTTTACTCTATGCCATTGCGTTATTGAGCATTCGTCAGTAAAATTGGTTACTTCGCATTCTACACAAATCCGATCGTTGAGATACGTCATTCAATAATGTCGATGGAACATCAGTTTCTGGATAATGATAATAAGACGAATTCAGACACGGAAAATAACCCAAAGCTTTTATCCCTAGCAAATATAAAAGCACTTAAGTTATTCGATACGGAATTTATAGAAAAGTATGGATCTTTACCTGTATTGTGGGATAGGGAGCATTCTGATTATAACAACAAATATATCAGATATGAAGCGCTCGAACAATTACTGCCAATATTAAGAAAACAAGAGCCTAAAGTGACAATATATCATGTTCGAAGAAAAATTAATACTTTAAGGTCTAACTATAGAAAAGAATTAAAAAAATATTTATTGTCAAAACGTGTAAGATCTGATGGTGTAGAATATTATACATATCCAGAGAGAAATTGGAAGTTCTTCGCATTAAAACGTTTTCTGGGTAGTGATATAGATCTAAATAATAAATTAGAAGAGTGCAATTACGATGAGGAAATTGAATTTGAAAATGTAAGTGATAGTCAAATAAAAAATTGTTATAGTCTATGTTTGCTGCTGTGTATGTCAACAAAATAGCATTTTGTAATCAATCAATAGGGTCAATATCGACTGTCATTCAATATTGTATAATGGCTGGTATTACATATATCTAATCGAATTTCAAACATTTTTGATTTATAGAGCTCATTTAATTTTTTAATATAAATAGTAAGTTAAATAGTAAAGTTATATAGTAAGTAAGTAAGTAAATTTTTATCTATAAATAAAAAGAAGTCTTTAACCAGTGGTCATCTAGTTCCCAAAATACCGCCAAAAATGGGAAAGATTCCAGTAAAAAAAGAAAATTCAATTTAGTCCGTCAGTCAGTCATATAATAGAAAAATATTAGGTACTTTTTTTTTTGTTTCAATTTGACAAGAAATGGCGTAGCATTAAAGTTGAAGAGCGGGGATTCGCTACGTATTCGTACGAATTTCGGAGCCTATTTAATGCAAACAACTAAACATTATATTAATATAGATAAGTACTCTTTGATTATATGGAAACCCACAAGAAATATAGTTTAGTTTTTCTAATTTAATAATTGAGCCAGTTATTTTATTTCACATTTTTCAGTTTCAGGACGAATCTTGCGATGTATTAGAAGACGAAAATGAATCAGTCCATGAAGCAAATGTGAATTTTCCAAAAGGAAATTCTACACCATCAACTGACACACCGCAACTCAAGAGGGTAAAGAGGGAATCAATAACTATTGATGAAGTGAATGATGTTGAATTGAAGGCAGTAGCAACAAACGTTGTGTGTAAATTAAAAAGAATGAATGAGGAACAGAGATGCCAGGCCGAATTATTAATAAACAAAGTGTTGTACCACGGGTTGAAGGGCAATTTAACATCAGATACCGATCTAGCCGAAGTTGAACATCGATGATTAGTGTAAGTCGCAATAAAAACTTTAAAAAAATCGAACCCACTTAAAATTTTAAAAAGTGATAGAATAATAAAAGCGGTGATGAAAGTTGGGTGGTGGTCTTCTGTAGGTTATTTATTAAATGATAGGCGTCCGACTTCAATAGCATTTTCTTGAATAAGTCGCTTTTGACTTAAGAATTATTTATTACTTTTTTTAGGTTTAAAGGCGTTTCTATTTTTTTAAAAGTTTTTATTTAATGCTTTTTAGTTGATATGTGTATAATAGGTTACATTAAAAATATTAAAAAAGTGAAAGTCTTACAAGAGAAGATTTTGTTTATTTGCTCGATATATTTTTTTCCAATAACTCATAAAGTGGATAGATCTGATTGTTTGTTTGTTTGAATTGGATAGGCTGCGAACTTGAAAATCGCCCAACAATTGGCAGAGATCGTTAAACATACAAAAAAAACACATTGTCGTCGAACATATAATCTCCTTTTTTGCTTTTGAAGTCGGTTGAAAGGGAATCATTGAAGCTTTTTAAGAATTTCATATTTTATAATAGGCGGAGGGAGTAAATAGAACCGACATTTTTTACGCTCCATAAAAAAGAAAACCTCTCTAAAGAATTCGCGCCAATGTTTTTTTTTTAAAGTTAGACGTACACTTTGTTACAAAGACCTAAATGTCCACTTAAGAGTGTAGGTACCTACTAACGTTTAAATAAAAAAACTTAGTCAACCGATTTTATTCAAATATTGATAGTTCAAAAATATTATAGAGATCCACAAATTACTATTATGGCATAAAAGGTAAAAAACGATGTTGTTAAAGGAAAGGGTAACTTTTTCCCGAAGAAGATGAAATGTTATTTTAGGTTCACTTATACACTATAATGACAAAGACTTCGAGCAAGAGAAGTCAAAAATATGTTATAACCTTTTAAATATAATTTTACAATTTCTCAGTTACCCAATTTCTTTATGTGATTAAGTGTGAGATTTATTGTTAACTTAGATTATATAAGTTATATAATTACTGTTATTAATATGTTAATGTTAATAAAAAATATTATTGAGAATTTTGTCGCCATTTTTAGCGTTAATTGTTTCATAAAATATCAAAAAAATGTTTCACGTCTAAAGTATAATGTTGCTTGTTTTACAATCTACGATCTACTCTTTGCTGAAACAAGTATTGCATAGAGTAATAGAGAAAGCCGGCCAAGTGCGAGTCGGGCTCACGCACGAAGTGTTCCGTACCAATGTATATGAAAAGTTAAATTACGCAATAACGTTTGTTGTATGGGAGTCCCCTTAAATATTTATTATATATTTTTTTTAATCATATGTCCTTAATAGAAATACATCATCTGTGAAAATGATCATTACCGTTCATAAGATACAGCCTGGTGAATAGACAGACGGACAAATAGCGGAGTCTTAGTAATAGGGTCTAGTGTTATCTTTTGGGTACGAAAATTACTCTGTTACGATCTGTCCTACCTATAAATCAAAGCTAAGAAATCATTTAACAGAATTATTAAAAAATAGTAGTGTATACGTAATTTAAATAACACACTGTACATATATTTTGGTGTCATTGTTTCTGGTTTAGAATTTATTATCTTTATGTCATGTACTAATTTATGTATCTTAGGTTTTATAATTTATGTTGGTTAGACATATCACGGAAAACCTAAAAATTAAGTGCTCAATTGCAAGTACTTACGAACTGTTGCCAGAACTTGGTTGATCTTCTATTGGTGCGTCGCTCTCCAACGCACTGCTTTCAGATGCTACCAGATACATAGATCTGTTTGCAAACATATGAAGATAATGGGTGTGTTACAAATAAGTATCTTTGTCATAACAATATTCAAACAATATTGTCGCAAATTTGAAACTTCATATTTAAAATAACACTATTGTAGCGACATTGTCACAAACTTGCCTCGTATATTTGACGCAGCAATTTAGAATCATAGAAAAATCAAACTTGCCCCAAGTTAGCATGCTATCTGGGACATTAGTCGGTATTAAGCCCGGGACCAATGGCTCGGTAGAACCACGGAGGGGCTCGAGGTAATACATTTTTGGTTATTCATTCTGAGACCGCGAAAGTCCGAACATATTAATCACTGCACCATCGAGCTTTCAATTAGACTATTTATATTATTCGGTAGTGATTATATATTTTACCTCGCCGGCACATACAGATGTGGTGGCGGTGGTGCCGCGCGGCGAGACGCCGATCGCGCGCGTCTACTGCGTGATGCTCTCCCGAGGAGGACGGAGTCTGGACGTAACATGTAGGTGGCATAAATACCAGAATATTTATAATTAGGTCTTGGAGTGTTAATTATGTAACTAGGTAGAAAGTTCAAAGAAAAGTTCTATCTGAAATCTGGTGCTTACAAAACAGCAACAATACTACGATGAACGCTACATTTTATTGTTGTAATTAAAAGCTAGTATGAGTCGCTCGCTCCGCCAGATGCAGTCGGCGGCGGGCGGGCAGACTGTGACTGTACCCTATAGACTGGTAGTGCAGTTACCGGGCGCGGGGTCGCTGTCGCTGTGCGAGTGCCCGCAGTCGGCGGCGGGCAGACTGTGACTGTACCCTATAGACTGGTAGTGCAGTTACCGGGCGCGGGGTCGCTGTCGCTGTGCGAGTGCCCGCAGTCGGCGGCGGGCAGACTGTGACTGTACCCTATAGACTGGTAGTGCAGTTACCGGGCGCGGGGTCGCTGTCGCTGTGCGAGTGCCGCTGGCGCCGCCAGCCGCAGTCGGCGGCGGGCGCGTCGGCCGCGACGCCGAACAAACCCGACACCGCGCCCGCCACCACCTTGCGAGCTGACCGCGCAGCGATCTAAGCCCGCGCAGATAACACCATCGGCTTATTTATAAGTAACTAATTGAATGAGGTCTCTTATAATACAGTCCTATCTTGTTGAAATTTGGTAAGAACACATAAATAAAATATATGTACCTACGGGTCCATAAGGGTCTTTTCCGGCCCTAAAAATACTTAAATTTCCGGTTGATCGCATTCATCTCATCCTTTCAACTCGGTAGTTAAAACAAAATATAACCAAGTGATCCTTTGAATGTTCCGTTTTTCCTCTTTAGGTGTGGAACCCTAAAATAATTACTAGGCCCAATAAAAGCAAAAATAGCTTTTAAAAACAACATGCGTAACTTTCTTTTGGAACATATATTAGTTTAATAATATATGTATGTAAGTATATAAATATATTCTTTTGTATGTAGATATGTATCGTTTATAGGAAGAATTTATTTATGTTTTATATATGTATTATGTACATAAGCATACTTATAGTATAGTCTCTTCCAACAAAATTTCCATTCCTATTGTGCACACCACCGTCCATTTGTCTCCACATCACCCTAAAGTTAACTGATAGAAGATGCCTACGGCATTTAGTCCGCCATTGTACATTTATGCAATCCTTATCAAAATAAATAAAAGCAAAGGGAAACAAAGAGGTCACACGTGACTCTCAGTTTACAAATTCTAAGTCGCTACGAAGTTTCCGGAGTCAGTAAATTATCAATCAAAGTAGGTACTGACGTGCACGTTGACATCGACGAGTGGCACATGGTCCAGGTCGGCGGCCAGCGCCGCCAGCCGCCGCACGCGCGCCTCCTCGGCGCCGCCGCCCTCCACCGCCGATATCAGCTCGAACAGGTAGTCCCGGTATACTTCCTCCTTGGCCGGTGGTGGAGAGACTTCACCGTAATAATATGGGTTTTATTTTTTGTATTTGTATTAATGACAGCGCGAGTATCGAAAATATCGATAGAAAACATTGAAAGATTACGGTTGCAATTAACACTAGTACTATAAAGTACAATTCTTAAGACTTCCCGTTTGAAAAAAATATAATAATGTATTTATTAGTCCTGCAATCGTGCACCCAGCCAATATCAGTATTTTTACAATTATATCACTGACTTTCGCAGAGATTGCAAATACAAAAATACGTCGTTGCTTATTTAAATCATGTTTCGTTAAAGTAAGTAATAAGTTGTTGGAAGTAAATCTAAAATTAAACGTCTTTCAAAAATAATTAAAATATCAAGTCCCTTTCTAGTTTCTTACCTGCTGCTGCTTCTATCTGAGGTACTCCTGATCGTGTTGGTTCGATATTTGTTTGAGTCGCCAAAACTTTCTGACCTGACACAGTTAATGTATCTGTTGATTTAATTTCAACATCTGTTCTAATCTGTGCTAACCCTGTTTGGTTAGGTGCTTGCCCCGTTTGAATCTGAACTTGCCCCGATTGGGTGTGCACTTGCCCCGTTTGGGTCTGTACTTGCCCCGACTGTGTCAAAACTACTCCCGTTGACTTTTGCAGCGGGTTTGTTCTCGTTTCTAGTGCCGTTTTCGTTGCACCAGGGTATTGTGGTAACGGTGACGTCACCGTCGGTGGAATCAATAGTTGATTCGGCGACGAGATGATCGGCGTTTGAGTCACACCAGTCGGGAATGGCTGTTGAGTTTTACCGTTTACTAAAAGGTCTGGTGTTTGTTGTTTCAGTGCCGAGTCTGAGAAAAAATAATTAAGTTACACTTATTAAAACAGTTATTAAAGGGAACTATTTTAAAGAGCACACCTTAGATTTATATGGGATATATAGATTTATAGAATTGAATTTAAAGCACGGTGGATATCAAAGTGAGCAACAAGCTTTCAAAAATTGTGACGCTCGGGCCTTCCCTATGGATGGAATCGAGTCAATTTGATTAGGGAGAATGGACCACCACACGGGGTGAGTGCGGATTAGTGGATATTAACGACTGCAGATGCAGCTTATACCAACGGTTTAACGTGACTAACGAAGCACGAGAAAATAAATTTGTGGTCACCTATATTATGACCATTGCGAAAGTCGGTAAACAACATATAACACAGACCGAGCGCGCTGGCCACTGCACCCGAACCCATGAGGACATGACCATGATATTTAAATAGGAAAAATTGGAAGTGTCTGTGTCTATACAAAACATAGAAAGAAGTATCTTTTGACTACGGCTAAGATATAAAATGGATGTACCTAAATAATAATAATAAACTATATGTGTGGCATACATAGATTTACGCATATACGAGTATGTTGAGTTCGTTGTTCCCGGGATTAGTTGTTTGACCATATATAAGACGTTGTTATAGCTTTTGTGCATGAAATTAAATTTCTTTGGAATTTTTATGTCATCACGTTGGGCGCCAATATGAGTTGGTGGTATGAGAGAGTGGAGTGAGTGAGGTGCACGAGTGGAATAGTGCTCACCGGTGGTCGTGGTGAGGTCGAGGTCAGTGAAGGCCATCACGCTGAGGGCGGACGACAGCGCCGGGGCCACGCCCGCGCCCCCCGCGGACCCCGCGCCCCCCGCGCCGCCCACATCCACCGCCGCGCGTCTGTATTCACAAACATACTATTATGACTAATATTCCCGCTTACATATCCAAAGTGGTCCTGATCGACCTCCAACCAAAGGAGACTCGACGAGGGTACTACTTGATCTAATCTTTAAAATTTTAATAAGTTTTACGACTGTGATAGAAATGTATATCAGCATGGGGAATCATCGAAAACATATATATATCCTTATTCCGCGCCACGCTCATCGCGATGCTTTGGTTTTGTAATATATTTCTCTGAATTAAGACAAAAAGATTTCTCTGAATTAAAAGAGGTGAGAGTTGATCATAGGATATTAGAACAATGCGATCAAATGATTGGAAGATCGCACGATCAACTGCCGCACCTCTCGTCGTGCGATTATATTCAATTTACCTGGGCGCCTTAGTGGGTGTAGAAATAGAGACGCGGCCCCACATGAGCCGTCGCAGCTCCTCGCCAGAGATACCGCGCCGACGCAACTCCGATATAGTCACTTTCCCTACACGCTGTAACATGAACATTGAAATCATAAATTAAATAGTTTGGTATTCGGTCATTATTTTATCTATTGACACATGATTTTAAAGTATTGTGTGTTAATTAGGCAGCTAGATGATAACCTAAAATAGTGTTTGTGTGTTGTTTCGTCATTAGAACACTACATTCGAAGATCTTTTAATACCTGAAAAGGTTTTTGCATAGGTACTAAATTGGGTCAGAATTGATTCATCAGTTTTCTTTTTACAGAGAAAAATCTTGTAAAAATTACCCTGTTGTGCAATTTGAAAAATGCATGAATTTCCTTAACTTATTATTATTACTGCTTTTATATATATTCTACTTGTTAAGAAGTCCAAATAGACTAAGACGATTGTGAATATTATACAATTCCAAAATACTCAAAGGTGTTAGATGAAAATTGGTATATGGATAATCCTAAGGCTGGATTAACATAATGCTACTTTTTCCCACTGAACGAACGACTCTCTAGGGATAAAACTATTGTCAAGTCATCATGGAAATCACGCAGGTGTAGCCGCTGACCGAAATCCTTTAATAACAGGGAATAAGACTTAAAAAGTGTTACGAGTGGGTAAGTATTATCTATGTATGGATCTACTGATCAACCAGATCGGTCCTGGCTTAGATCACCTTCCAATTGGTGAGCGCGCCCTTCCTCTGCTTGGCCCGGGTCTTGGCCTTGCTCTTAATGACCATGACGGCGCGCTGCTCGTAGCGCGGGTCGTCGGAGGGCCCGAGCCCGATGGAGTACTCCTGCAGGAAGCGGTGCGCCTCCTCCGACGCCACCGACCGCTCCAGGGACACTACGATCTTAGCCCACTGCACACACACATTCAAATGGTAGTATTTCATTACATACATTAACATCACAGATGGACATTGGTGGTAGAAACGTGCTGAACAAAGCTTTCAATGCTTTAGCTTGAATCCTGTCAATTCAATAGGCTTGATGACTGCCCTTTTTATAAATAATCAACATCCGAGAAATAATGTAGAAGTAACAGCATGTTTGCAATTAAAAGTTTCGGAAATACGGTGTTGTGTTTGTAGAATTGCGAAAAGTCATGCCATGAAGTGACGTCACGCCTTGTTATGGCACCGAAAACGAATGGGCGTCTATGGTAGTTATTCTAATGAACGTTGTTACATTTTATGAAACTAAATTAATAAATAATTTAATAAACTTTTGTAATTTGTTTTCCCTTCTTCATTCCAATTATCTAAACGTAAAATTTTCCAAATGAATAAGAGTTTATTATGTTAAATATTTATAAGTTAAAATGGTTCATATTATTCGAACATATATCAGATACCTGTATTTTCTCTACTAGGTCACAACCCCATTCTATAAACGACTAAATAATGAAAGACAAGTTATAGTATAGATAGATAGAGGGATTATATTCCATACTTAGATTAGATGTGAGAACAGAATAATGTTAAATTCTTTTAATTTAACATTATAACATTATTCGAATCATCAACAAGTACAGTACTCTCCCTTCTATATCAATTATATGGAGCCCAAAGCTTGATATTGTTAATAATAAGACAGAAAATTGAAAAAAAAAACCTATACACAAAAATATATTTTAATTTAAATGCTTATAATGCTGTATGTTTTACTTATACTATATTTGTTACTGTTCAACAATTCACCTGCTTGACCCACTCCTTCTCGGATTGCTCTATGACGTGGGCGTACGTGTTCCCCATCATGGCGATGAGCATGTTCAGCAGTAATATCGGTACGAACACCATGAACACAGCGAACACGGTCTTTGTCAGGTTCGGGTATGGTGTCATGCCGAGGTCCGAATACTAGAGGAGTTAATCGATACACTTAAGCAAGAACATTAACTCGTCGTACGACCGAATTGTTCCACGGGTACCCACAATAAGCCAACATAATACATAGTTCACAAAAAATATTGCAGTAAACAGAATTTTTTTATTAATTCACACAACAACATAAAATTGTTTTGAAGCACCTGTGAGTTGCCTCAAATTTTTTACCTACCCGTTCCAAATGAACACCTTTTGCCCAAAAAGAAGAACAATAGCTATACAAGGGATCAACCACAAAACAAGACTACTAATAGCTACAGAACAGTTTTGGTATTTCGTTAGTTTAGCGTCGAACATAGCACCGTCCTCGCTGTATATTTAACAGAATAGCACTGCAACGCAGACTGTACCATCAAAGACAACGGCAGATACAAGGACAAAACATCTTTCGCAACTAATAAGTTTTCATTTTAAGCGCCCATCACCAAAGCGATTTTCTATATCACTTAGCGATTCTGCGTCTCGTTTTGTTTTCGTCTGCAGTCGAGCGGAGACTCGACACAGATGTAGGGCAGCATGTAATCATACCTGTGACTACAGAATCAAACAGTGAACCACTTAATAGTGTAAACAAAGCGAATGAATATAAATAATAAAAAAAACTGTAAAAATTTACTTGACGGGCTAGATAACGTTATGTATGTTAGAAAAGTAAACCTTACTTAACTTATTAAATTTAGAAATTGAATTGAGACTATTTTATCTTTTTACTTTTAACTTGATGAGTAATCATTTAATATACGTACACTGTAGTCGCCTAAGGTGATTTGAAATAACGCCATCCAAGTGCTAGGGTAACTGGAATACAAGGTAGACTGCACGTTGGGGAAGCCTGCAATGTACAATGATATGTTGGAGAATTCAAAACTATTTTTAATGAGTTCACTTGATTATACAATACTTTGACTTTGATTAAATTATCGCACGACAAAATCGCTGTACGATTGTTGATTAAGACACTTTGAGTTGATCCACTCTTGGAAAATTTCGATGTCCATGAAATATTTTAACGAAAGATAGAGTGTGCCACGCGTAAGGTTTACAAATAAAGGGGTACATTACCTTTGTACAAAAAGTAGAAGGACTGTGAGAATCCGAACAGTATGATGCAGTAAATTATACCGAAGGTGAACATGTCTCCAGTGATCATACTGTAGATCATCGTCACGAACGGTCCAGTCAGGCGCACGGCGCTGTAAAATATTATAAAATATACAGACCATCGGCTTATTAATATTTACCTACACATGGAATCAATTATACAGGAAGAACTGACCATAATATTTGTACGCAATTAAAAGTACCAGATTACATTGAAACATAATTAGGTATTTCAAGATCTATGTGTTCTGCATTGCATAAATGATTTGATTTGATAATCTACCATGCAGGCCCAGTGCCACTTGATGAGTGATAGGTAATGTTGCAACTTATATTAATTTTAACGTCTAGATGGCGTTATAGCAAATTACATCGCGATAGTAAAATATTTGTGTAATTTCATACAGACAGAATTTGTTTGAAATACGTGTTTCCGTTCTGCGAGTGTGAATTTTTATTCATGTCCCCATGATTCCTGGGATTTTGTACTGAATTTGTATAGTTGACGATTTCAGGGCAGTCGGGACCTATAGTATAACGTCACTTTCGAATCAGGCAGTAGTTAGCAATGTAACCTCCGTATCGCAGACAGAACCCTTATTCATCTCTTCTTGCCAGTTCTTCTCAGCACTAGGCCTTTCACCTTGAATTCACGAACCGATGGTAACGAATTTTGATTTCATAATTGACATAAAGGTGATATATGTATAATGCATGTGTAACTTATTTATTTATTTATTGAATCTAATTAACTAATACGAGCATGATACAGAAGGTGGACTTAATCCTAATAGCATTCTCTCCCAGCTAATCTTTGCCCAGTCCACCAAGTCTAACGAGATGGCGGCACAGAGAAATTTTAAAAGATGAGTAACTTAAATAAAACTACAACAACAATACTAAACTAATAATGAACAATAAACATACTTCAAAATATAAAATAAACTTACACATAATTATATATATGTAATTATTCCGTATTTCGTCATTTGGCATGCAAAATTATTATTTAAATCTGATAATTATTGATTAATAACATTGTTCGAAAATCTTACCCTGCAAAAAACATTAGTAGGAACCAGACACCAGGTAGCAAAAAAATGAGCAGTGCTTCCTCCAGCATCGTTTGCCGTGTCACACGGAAGGGTATGCAGGCCAGCAGGAGGATGTTCGACGTCAGGAATATAAACTGGGCCGGTTCGTGAATCTAACAAGTAAATTTCTTATTGGCGCCCAACGTGGTGTATCAATGATCTCTATATACGAGTATCGTTTCCATCAAATTTCAACGAACTTGAATGGAAACGAAGCGTTGTACAAAATAAAATAACTGTGTAACTGAAAGACTTTTGTATTTATATGAGTTTGATAAATGTGTATAATAGTGTCCGCTACTGCTAGAAGGCTAATAATATTACAATTAAGACGTACCTTAATTTACAAGCTTTAGCGAGAGTTCTCGATAGATACTACTTTTTACTTCGATCACAAAAAAACATTAATATAGTAAAATAGTTTATTTTGATTAAATTAAATGAACATTTTGTATAATTGTGGAAGCCTCGTACTTAATTGTCTTATCTTAAACTGAATGTTTCACGAAAAGTTTTAAAAGACAATACAAGCATTCTACGGAATCAATTGTTTTTTAATCAAATTTCAAAAGCTAAATGTTTATAAGAGCATTATTTTATTTATTAATAAATCTTGTCTGTAGACTCGTTGGTTACACAATTAGTTAAATAAATACTTCTTTTCTCCTGGAACGAAACATATTATTAGACGGCTTTAATTAGTACTCTAAAAAGTCGGACTTTTCGAGCATGAGAAGAAAATAATAAAATTGAATAATTACCAACGTTTTGAAGTAAGCCACCACCCCCTGGTTCTTGATCTCGTCGCCTTGCTGCAGTATGATGTAGCAGAGAGTGCTGGCGATGGTGCCGAGCTCGCAGGCCAGCCGCACGCCGGAGCGCGCGTCCGCCACCTGCAGGCCCCAGCGCGGCTGCGCCTCCGCCTCGGCGCTGTTGTGCCGCAGGTACACCGACACGGACAGCAGGAGCAGGTGCAGCATCAGGATCATCAGCCGTTTCAGGAACTTTTTCTGTGCGCAAATAGTCTATGTTGACATTGTTATCGGTCTTTTAACGTCCAGGGGACAAGTCTTATCGGCGGAATGATCGGATAGGCTGCGATGAATTTCCGTAAGGGTCGGTCATAGTTTAAAGTAGTCATTAAACCTTAATGGCCGTTTTTGTAACCGAGTGTTACTTTTTATTATATTTTGATAAATTTTGCATTCACAATGCTCTACAGGAAAATATTCTTAATGGAAAATGCTTAAAAAAATCCTAGTACTCTGAAATGGGATTTAAACCCACGACCTCCCTCGGGCACCGCTCTACCGACTCATTGCGAAAGGTCGTGGGTTCAAAATTTACCTGAACATATGATAAAAATTCGCTCTGCAGTAGCGAAAGAAGTACTAATTTCTGCATGAGATCACCACCCAACAACTCAAAAATTAACATGTGAATGACCATGAGGTTCAAACCAAATTATCGAGTTAATTACTCTTGCAAAAGTCTTCCACTTTTCTTCTAACAGCCTCTGTATGATGCCTCCGTCCAACATGTTGAGATGCTCCTGTTTGGTTCCGTTCAGAATTATGAAGAGGGCCGAGTTCCAATCTAAAAACAGGGGTTAGATTTCCTTAAGATGGATGGCATAGAGTTTCGACTTTCACGGGTGCTTATTACAGTCTGGACTGGATAAATTACTTTAGATTTGATGTAATTTATAAATCTCATTATTATCTCAAACTTTTAATCGAAATTATATTTCAATTGGCACTCAGACATGGCACTCGAACCATCAAGTGTTTAGAGTTTATTATAAATTACGAAAAAAGAGAATGTAAATTCTTAATTTTAATGAAAAGCGTAAAAGAATCGAGTTACTAGCAAGAAAGTTTTCTCTCTTATCTCTTTGTGCATTAAGGGAGTTTGCACACTTATTGGTAGTCTAAGTGCAGCTTGCCCGGCCGTAAGATATAGTTCGAAGTTCGTATGATCATCGATTATTTTCTAATATCATCATCATCACCACGCGGGTAAAGTTCGGATTGGCGGGTGCTAACGATAGAGGAGGTCTATGTAAGAAATATTCGCTCGCACATCCTACGACCGTCCCTTGGACAAATTCCATCGAGTGCTTCTTCATTTGTCCCAGTTGGAATCTAGGGCGTTAGATTTGATAAAGTTTACTGTCTAGAATTATCTACATGAAATATATTTCCAAAATAACTATCAGGGGGTGATTAGGGATCGATACTGATGCCAAAAATGCAATCAGTAAAATTTTTGTCTGTCTGTCTGTATAACCGTTATAGAAACAAAAACTACTCGACGGATTTTAACGTAACTTGGTACAATTATTTTTTATACTCCTGAGCTGGTTATAGTATACTTTTCATCACGCTACAATCAATAGGAGCAGAGCAGTGAAGGGAAATGTTGGGAAAACGGGAGAAGTTACTCCATTTTTTAAGCTTCCGTCGCGTGTGCAACCTTAATGGTTAAAGCTACCCAGAAATCATGTATGACGGAAATGTTCTCCTTAAAATTATATTAATAATATCCCACGACAGCATATATCTTTTATGGTTGACTCACAATAACACGTGTAACTCCCGATAGCTTAGCAGTTCGGAGCTTTCTGATTGTATTTGTCTATTGTCTACTCTTACGTTTATAACACTCTCAGTCATCCCTAATTAAAAAAGTTAAATCACGCCGAAACTACTGAACAGATTTTGATGAAATTTGGTATACAGATAGGGTATTAGCTGACTTAGATAATAGGATACTTTTTATCCCACTTAACATTTCCCTAGGGACCACGCGGGCGAAGCCGCTGGTAATGAATAATTATTCGTTAGAAATGCTGCTCAAAGTATTTTACCACGCGGACGAAGTCGCGGGCAAAAGCTAGTAAGATAATAAAACATTTGCCACAGTAGCACCAATTATCAAGCCATAATTGATGTTTATTAATGCAAATCGAATATCATTTATTTAGTCTAGCCTGTTACAACTACATAAGAAAGTTGAAAGTTATGCTATGGTCCGTAAATCTACAGCGGGATTCCTTATACTGAGAAGAACCGGCTTGAATCTGCTGAGGTTTCCTTTTTTCTTACATTTACATACCTTTTTTGAATATCTAACTTATTAGGAAATTCTTTCTTACTAGTTTTTCCATCTGGCAGTAATGTGTCCAAAGCGTTCAGCGGATAAGCAGAGCAGGTAATGTTGGAATACCTGTTCAATAAAATAAAGTGAATCTGAAAATTAAAACCTGTTTCCTGAAAAATCACGAAAGGAAAAAACATATGAGATAACTATGGTCGTATGTCGCGTAAAAAGTATTATGTTTCACCCTTAACTTTCATATGCTGAGACAGTTTTTCCCACTTTTCCTATAGCATACAATGTTACGCTCAGACCAAATAAAAAGTACTTTTTAATTGGTCTGAGATGTTACGTTTTTTGTGTCTTGTATTAACCGCGCATACACATAACCTCAACCATCAATTAAGACTTATCATATATCTTATGTAACCTTTGTGGTGGTGGATTGGGAGACTCTGTGTTTCTTGTTCTGAGTGTGAGTTTGGTTTGTTTGTGTATGAAGCGGAAAATAAGGACTGTAGGAACCGTAAGGTTGAAGGTGTGATACCTACTTGATGATGGAAACAACTGGCAAAGGAGACTAAAGGATAATTGTCTCCCTCCGAGCTAGGTGTTGTTAGCACGGGAACGGAAGGGAACCGCGGTCCCCGTCCCCCTCCGTCCCCTGGAGTTAAATTATCCTATAGTCTCCCTTGCCAGATGTCTCCATCATCAAGTAGGAACCACATATTCAACCTTACGGTTCCTACAAGGATTTTAAAATCATCAAGTTTAATTTCAAGAAGACGGACTGCTTTCAGAAGGTAAAAGGGATATAAGGATAACATGATAAACACACAGAAGTGTGAGACAATGACAGTTTTAGATGTAGGACATAGGTTATACACTCGTGCTCAACCTGAAATACGGTTAAGTCTATTTTATGGCCACGCTATGAGAAACAATTTCTGAAGTTCAGCAGAACCTCATAACTGCCTAGACAAAGTTATATAACGGTTAATAAATAAATAGGTGTAATACCGCCAGAATTCCCTGGCGGAGAGCTCGAGCATCTCCCTGAAGACGGAGGCGCGTCCGAGTTGGCAGGCAAGCGTGAGGGGTGTGAACCCTGCCCTGTTCATCCGACCGTTGCTGGCCGGCACGCGTGGGTGACGTAGCGCGTACCCGAACATGTCCTGTACACACACCTCACCATTATATTAATGTCCCCACTCCTGATGCACAGAACTTTAGAGAGCGATTCATAACACCATGAGCGGATTGGTGGGTGCTAATATCTTGCAGATGCAGTCAGGATCAACAGCTTGATGTGAAGCACAGGGGATCTTGAGATAACAAACTTTGGTCACCAATCCGATGACTTGATGCTTAACCTCCGTACTGCAGTCGCAGACTAAACCCGCTAGTATCGGCAAAGAAACCACCACCAACTCAGAAGACATCCCAAGGTAGAGACCAGAGGGTTCAATTGTAGCTTCTCAGATTCATCGCTATATTTTCAATATTACGAGACTGTTTTGAGTTTAACACTGTTTTTATCATTTACTCTTTATGTTTCAGGAGTTTCATGTTGGTAATTAGCTTTTCAGTAGAGAATAAACTGTTATTAAGCGACGACAAAGTGAATTTATTACATCTTAATTTATAGTTATTGATCTGCTTACATGTTTCTTATCCCTATTAATAATATCAGTATGTACCAGTTTGTCGCACACGACGACCATATGCAGTATCATGTTCCCGAACGAGTCCTGTTTGTCAGGATGCGCGCCGCAGTCCAGCAGCAGGTTGTAGACGGCCTCGTTGGCGCAGCAGGCGGCCCACGCCAGCGGGTACTCGCCGAGGTACGCCAGACCCTCGTAATTGGTCTGACGGGAGCCCACCCCGCCCTGCTGGTCACGCGGTAGGAAAAAACTGCCTAAACACACATTCAATCACATATTTATTTTATAGAAAATATAAATACTTAAGAAATTAAAGTACATAACGTTGACAATGTTCTTACTTATTATTTTTAATAGAAATGATATTTATGACGCAAATAATATTTGTAAAAATCCTTCTTTGATAAGAATATACTCACTGTAGCAAAATAATAGAATTCGAGTACCATTTCGAGCCAATGCGACTGGTGACTTTTTTTAAGCATTCTTCAATTACGGAAAGCGCTGCGAATGCAAAATTGCTCATATATTCATTATATGATGATTATGAATACTCTTCCTATACTGTCTCTATATTTTCACGCCAGTTTCAAAAAGGACTGACCGTTACACTCACCATACCGTGGACGTTAATGGATCCTGAGCGTTTTCGAGTGTGGATTGGATTGCGAAGTCATTGTCACAAAATGTCTATTCACACAAACGAAACACTATCCTTAGCTTATTGTAGACCACCTGCCTTGACCTTGATGTCTTCATGTATCATAAGGTTCATACCTATAGCCCTCTGATTGACGTCTGCTCCAGCTTCTACCAGATCTTGCGCCAGCTCATTGTTACTATATGCTATGGCTAGGTGTAGGGAACTCGCTCCTAAACAAAATACTTCAAATTTATCACTGAACTCATCGAAGTTATTATCGAGGAAATAAATCATTTTTATTAACTAAACATTGATGCAAATATGGTCACTAGTAACCAAACAGAAAACTAGTTACTTGAGCAATATGCATCATATTTTCACAACGAATGGTAGGCAGAGAAAACATCAAAGTTTCATCAGTTTGTTTATTAGTACTTAAATAATAATTTTTCACCTACTTTAATTATTTATAAGAAAAACAAACAAAATTGATTAAGGTCGATCGATGCACGCACTCACCTAGATATTCTTCACCTTCGACGACGTCCAAAGAAAGTTTTGGGAAGCACTTGACCAAGGTTCTGGCAAGTCTCGTGTGAATCTGAAAATTACCACATTCATACCAAAATCATGTAGCTTACGTGTTTCAGGTTCGATAATAATGTCACGATAGGATAAAATATGGTGCATATTATCCCTTTAATTAGTTACCTTGGTGTCACAAATAATAAGTACATGCAGCAGTGACTCCCCAAGTGCCCCCCTATAGCTCATCTGCCAGCACGCTGTGTGATCCTCCCATTTTGCAAGTGGGTCGTGGGGGGATAGCGATGCTTCTATTGGGAGAACAACCTGGAAATTTTCGTGCCTATTTTGAATAATAATAATTATATACAATAAATTTTTTTTTCACATTTTTTACTATACATATTTTGTCAGTAATAATGAAAAATAATTTTTAATGTTAGTTTAAATTTAATACATTAATTTAATCCAATTTACTAAATAAATTCATTTGAGATAACGTTACTTACGTTGAAATAAAAAAACTGTAAAGTGACATATAAAATAATATTTCCCATCTCACATATTGGAAGAGAGATAAAGACTGGACAATTAATAGAAGAATGTAATTATTGGAAAAAAGGTAATTCTAAAATGTAACAAACTAATAACTGTTCCTGACGACAATCACTAAATAAATTCACGCAGACAAATAAATTAGAAAAAATAAAATACGCAGAAACAATTAATTCCAGCTTAAGTCAACACGCTACAAAGAAACTAAACGCAAATATGACCAACCACTTTATAACGAGAAATCAAAAAAGGAAAACAACAACCACTACTTCTGCTTATAAACCCTTGGTACTTCAAAATGTAAACAAGATATGACGTAATATTGCGACCAGTCCACGACGTTCCCCAACACTCCTGGTCACCGAGGGAACAAAAGAAATCTCCAATCCACTCACTCTAAATATGTACATACAATGCTAGATCACTACAATCTGAAACAAGACTAAATTAGAATTTAAATCAGCATTTCAAAAATTAAAATATGATCTACGTAGGCGGGATGATAAATAGCTAGCCCAACCCATATTTTGTATGATAACGATATAAAATCTGCTTAGTATTTTACTCATTGGTTCATTAGCTGCCAGTGTTCCAAATTTCAAATCGATTGTATAGTTTTTCTTTTAAATATTGACATTTCAAAAAGCATTCTTTTGTTTTTTGTGCAAAATGGATAAAATTGAGCTATGAGCTGTAATAAAGTTTTTGCATTTAAAAGGATTAAAAGGTGGAGAGATTTTTTCGGAGATGAAGGATGTTTTGGGAGAAAATGCTCTTTTATATGCGACCATAAAAAATTGGGTGGCTGAATTTAAACGTGGCCGTACCAGCACCCAAGATAAACATCGTCCAGGACGTCCAAAAAGTGCATCTACTCCAGAAATTGTAATCAAAATTCATGATGCAGTTTTAGCTGACCGAAGATTGAAACTTTCCGAGAGAGCTGATACTGTAGGCATCTCTAAAGAACGGGCGCATTACATTTTGACTCAAGAATTATGTATGAAAAAATTATCCGCAAGGTGGATGCCATGATTGCTTACAGTTGACCAAAAACGCGTTTACAATAATGTTTGCACCGCTTTAAGAGCAATACAACTGATTTTCTGCGACGGTTTGTTACTACAGACGAGACTATGGTTCACCACTATATACCTGAATCAAAAATTCAGTCTAAACAATAGACGGAAAAAGGATCCCCGACTCCAAAGAAAGCAAAAGCCGTGCCATCAGCGGGGAAAGTCACGGCGTCAGTATTTTGGGATTCGAAGGGTATATTGATGATTGATTACCTTCCAAAAGGACAAAACATAAATGGCGAATATGATCTACTAATCTACTGGATAAATTACTAGTGTGTATTGGTGAAAAAAGACCCGGCCTGGCTAAAAAAAATAACCTTTCATCAGGATAACGCGCGCGTTCACACGTGCATCACTGTGATGGCGAAATTCAAAGAATTAAATTTTGATTTGCTACCACACCCAGCTTATTCTCTTGTCTGACTTTCATCTATTCCCTAAGCTCAAAATTTTTTTAGGTGGACAAAGATTTGAAAATAATAGCGAGGTGATGTCTGCCGTGGACAGTTATTTTGAAGGGCTTGAAGAAAACCACTTCAGAGATGGCATCAAGGCTTTAGAGCATAGATGGATGAAGTGCATAGCGCTTCAAGAAGACTATGTCAAAAAATAAATAGCTAGGCTAGCTATTTATTATCCCGCCCTCGTAGTTGGCTTAGCGGAAATAATGAGAACGGGCTAAAACATAATAGAAAATAATGAACACATATTTTTGGGGTGGGATTTTTGATAAGGAAAGATGGAAACGAAATATTAATAGCTAGATTGATAGCTATCATAGAGAATTTCGGAGAAGACTCTATTTTTCTAATTCAAGCTTAAGCACAACTACAAATTCATTTCCAAATCTTCTAAGACTAAATACCAAACGCACTGGAACGAAGTAACAAAAATATCAATATGAGGTCAGATATAGTAGAGGTCCTATGAAAGCCCCGTGGTATTTTCAAATTTCAAAGATTCAGATGTACTTTGGGCAACTCCCATTTGAAAATCTTGCTGACAGCCAGTTAAACTAATGAACATGGCCAGAAAATAATATTTTTGGCCCAATCGAATATCAGACTGTTTATAAGATATTGAGCGGTTGAATATTTAATATATCAGCGGCTCCACTTATTTGTAATATTCATACATCCGTCCGGCAGGTTTAATTTTATATTACCTATACCTACTATGCTCTTACTATTTGATAAAAGGATGATTTAGTATTTAAACTATCCTAACTTGTTTCTGGTCCCTGAACTTCCACCTCAAGTACTCAGCGCGGTTGATCACCCGGCCCGCGCCCCCCGCGTACATGTACGACGCGAACTCCTCCCTGATCAATTTCTCTGCAGCCACCATTCCACCTTTAGCATAAGTCTCCAAAAGTAGTCCACCTAGAAATTATAGACATTACTGAAGATTAAGTTTTTCTGCATCGACACTCTGTAGTTGTACAGCAGCTGGAGGCAGTGCCGGATTAAGACAAAATTTTATTTGGCAATGAAGGCCCGGTGCAATAAGGCCTACCTTTGAAATTTCGTCTCTTTTCTTTCTGTTCAAACTTTACTTACTTACATAATAACACCGGTAGATACGCCGTGTTATGCATGTGTGAGTAAAGCTAAATGATAACAGTGATATTAGAAGTATTTTAGCTCGAAATAGGGATGATCACTCATTTTATACAGTGAGTTGAAATGGCCCCCACTCATCATCTTTAATGCCTATCATATCTAAGCCATTTTAGTGAAATTGAAGCAAAAAAATGACTTTCTAACATCTGCCAACATCTGCCCTGCGATTCTGTAAAAAACCAGACCGGAATTCGAATTCACTCATGTGTCCGAATTAAAGTCATTTAGTGTAGACATTCTATTGATTCCATTTTTTGTATAAAAATACAAAACATAATTGATTGAATATACGTGTCTCAAATATTCTATTCGTATATCATTTCGAAACTTACTTCACTTATGCCACGAAACGTTATTAGCAATTTAAGGTTGAGCGTTTTGAAGTAAATTCGGACACCTGAGTGAATTCTAATTCGCGTTTGGATTTTTACAGAATCGCAGGGCTGATTAGAATGGACTAAATGGATTTTTTTTACCCAGGAACCTTTTTCATTGCCGGGCCTTATTACCGCAACAAAGCTAGCCGGGTCAGATTGATACAAAATATTTAGATAAAAAATTAGTAACAAAATAACTTCCAACTAATAATTATCTATCATACACCAAAGCTTGTGTCTGAACATTTTTAATAAATTAAATATACGTATACAGCGTGTTTGGTAATAACTGTATAATCCCGAAACATGGCCATACAACCTAGCACAAAGAACACAATTGATAGGTCAAAAAACAATTTCATGTAAATTGATATTTTCATACAAATATTTGAACAATTTGTTTTCAATTACTATGCTACAACCCTGTAAGCTTATACGTGCCGTCCCGGCGCACTCGCTCTTGCTCTCTCTCCCTCTCTCATTACCTCTCACTCTCTCGTTTCCTTGAATACATTTTGATGTTGCCGACGCGCGCACTCGACTACGTATGAGTTTACTTGTAATTAAAACAATTTAAGATTAAATAGGTACATACCTATAGCGTGCTAATCACTCTTTCAGCTTTCACTTCTAAACATTACCTACACTTCACCTCCACTTTATCAGTCCAGGGTCTCGATATGCCGGCCACCGCATAAAACACACATCTCCATTCGACTCAACACAGACCGTGTCGTGTTACTCTCGACGTAAAGTCATATCCTCTGTCTCGATGGAATAGGTGATCGGCCGGCCTACCTGTGGCACACTATGGAATGAACCAGTTGTATGTAACCAATTCACAAATGCCGCGAATCACCGGTAAGAAGGAAGACGTCGATGGTTTTCAGGTCTTCCTGACACGTGGCGCTCGTCATAACGCCGCCGAGCCGCAGCAAGATTACCGTCACAAGCACCGCCACACATTATCATCTCGTAATATTAGGCATTTGAGTACGAATTCATTGCACTGACCGCACACAAACATAATACACAGGTAAACAGAACGAGAATGAAAAACAAACCAAAAGTCCCGAAAGAACGAAAACGTAAGTTGACCTTCTAAATTCTGAAAACTCACAAGTACGCCGATGAAAGTCACGGACGCGACTGACGCGATGACCAAAACTACATAGGTTATTATTATTGCAACTCGAACACCAATGTACCTAAATCAAAAGTGTACCGATTTTGGGGTTCCGCGTCAAGAAATATTATTTATTATTAGACCTTTCCATTACAACTAACCTTTATTTAATTATCATTTAAACTAAGAATAAGAGAGATACTTAGATTATTAATATCATTGTATAAGTCCGTATTTTATTGTTTCGTGAAAATAACACGGCTTTATGAAAAAAATAACAAAACTTCAAAGCAAATAATCTACAGAACCTTACTGACACATCAGAAACCCGAGTTTCTCAATACACATCGTCGTCGATTTTATGTCTCTCTCGCTCCTTCTTGCATAGACTAATGTGAGCAATGGTGCAGATATTGAACTTCAATCAAAGTATTTGCAATTTCTTTTTTATTTTGACTGTATTATTACAGAAGTTTTCATATTAATAGTTTTTGAAACACCGTTAATCACAAGATTAGTGTTTTTTTATAGTTAAAAGTCATTTACTACTAACTTTTTCTTTGTTTGGAAATAATAAATTCCTCTCAGATGCATATTTATTCTAGGCATTTATCTTTAGATTTATTTAACTTCTGTTATTTTTTAAACTAGTTCGGCACATGGAGTCGATGACCAAATACAACACAACAGCTGTTTTTAGGGTTGTCAGCGTACAGTTTTACTTCGAAGAAAAAAAGCTGAATATCTAGGTCATGTGCTGGGTTTCAGTCTTAGTGATCATTTTTCTGGGTTCTATTCATCATACCGTATGTGCCATATTCGGGATTATACAGGTATTACCAAACACGCTGTATACTTAGTTCTAAAGTGTAAAAACTTTTCATATTTGTTTTTACCCTTTTTATAATCAGCCAGTTTGTATAATACAGTGTGTTCCTCAGTGTGCGGCTGCGATATGACACGGTCGAGCACAGAACCCGCCGCCTGCACGTCGCGAGCCGCGCACAACTTGCTCACCACGCCACCCATGGCTCTGTGAGTTAGGTTTTTCAATAAACAATATAAAATGATAACGTGTTCAAAATTAAACTCGAATATTGTTTGGACAATACTCACCGTCCAATATCAGATTGATTTTATTATAGGAGAGTTAGGTCAGATATTACTGTTAGCATATTATATCGAGACTAATTAGAGACTGGTTATATGTAACTGCATATATGCATGCAAGGCCGGACTGTATTGGAGGGCGGCACATGCGGCAAACAGATTATGTTTGCTTTAATTACTTGAATCTGTAAAATGCAGTAATACCATAAAATTGGCTTTTGTTCTTTGAACATATGAGTCCATATCCTTCGTATTCAAAAGTATAAAATTAAAGCGTTCTACCATCATGAGTCTTTTATTTTTTATGGGCGTCATTCAAATGTTTTGTCTAGGTCGCTAAGTTTCGTCATGTGCCTACGCTGTATGCACGCATATACATATCAGTCCCCCTTCATACTTACATGTTCTCGGCCGTAGGATGCCATACTGCCTAATATAGTTTTGATATACGGATAGCAAAAAATCTTATAATTTGATGCGTTTTCACAAATTATTTATACTTGTGTTTGCCTGCGATTTTGCCTACGTAAATTATAGCCTTTTTTTGACGCTGAGAAATTCGTTACAAAAAAAAGTTTTAATGTTTAATAAGTTAAACTTACCGATGATTCTCGATCAACTGCTTTTATTTATATATTTAAAGCATTTCTTCTCTTTTATCAGGAACACTCTCGAAAATATAGTTTTTATTCGTAACGTAACCATCATTAATAATTAAAGTAGGTCAATTTAGTCGATACGATTAGTTTGCATGTAGGTCAGTCACCTACATTAATTAAGTATAGTATATAACAAATTTCAAACGGGTTTAAGAACATAATGTAATTTGTTTAAGATTTGAACTTGGAAAAACTATTCTTATTTTAATAGAAAACTCAAAACAAAATATTTTTCGCTTTACCTTACTCTTTTTACTTAATTATTTGGTAATATTTCGAATAATTTATTTGTTTGATTTTTACACCCTTAAAATTGAAATATATGAACACTTCTATATCCTTAAAGTAAAAGGTAAATCACTTTTTGATAAATAAGAGAAGTCTTGTTTAAATTATATTAGGTACAGTCCCATGGAAAGATAAACAGCCTTCGTTACCATGGCAAAATCGCGAAAATTATAAGGTGGCAACATATACAACTACTAGTGGACGCCCGCGACTTCGTCCGCGTGGAAGTCGGTATCCCGTGGGAGTGAGAAGTTTTCCCAGTAAAAAGTACCCTATGTGTTATTCTGATGTATAACCTATATTGCTGTAAAGTTTTATCCAAATCCGTCCAGTAGTTTTTTCGTGAAAGAGTAACAAACATCCATACATCCATACTTACAAACTTTCGCCTTTATAATATTAATAGGATTATAAAGAAGAAAGATTTATTTGTTTGTTTGTATTAAATGGCGTGTACAGTTCTTACATTGCACATTCTTGTGTAGTCACGTTTTCACGTATTATGAATTTAGCTTTCTTTAGTTTATCTTGTGTTTTACTTATAGAGACCGCTATCTACCAGCATCGAAAAAGGACCTATCTACAATATTTAACTCTAGCTGTAACTTAAATAGTATAACTTAACCAATAACTTTTAACCACGAAGTTTTTATCTTGTGTCTCAATCTCAATAAATTTTACCATTTACAATAAGCTGTAAACATCTACTGTATGGTGTTCGTGGTCTACTAAGCGGACATCATACATGACGTCTAAAACTACTAGCCGGTTTTAAAAATTCTTTCATCTACGAGAAGCTACATAATACGCGGGTGACATAGGCTATTGTACAAAAGCGAAGTCGGGAGGGAGAAAACAGGCTTAAGCGACCAACATGCGTAGCATGGCAAACTCGAGAAACGCTTTGTTTACACCCAAATGTCACTTTATCGGGTCGAAAGTGAGATGTTGTATTATAAAAAAATGTCCCATTTTTTCTCAATTTTAAACTTTAATAAGTAGTCTGTACTTAGAACTTAAAAGCAATATTTTGTTTATTAAAAATAAACATATTGCTTAAATACTAAAAATAAACGAAATATTACTTTTAAAATTCGAAACACTAAATTTTTTTAAGATTGCTCATTGTCTATTCTTATTTTAGCGCCAATACATTATAACATATTTTTTGATATTAAAATAGTAGTGCGATAAAGAGAACCATATCGCTGTGATTGCATTGCATAGAGTAGGTATGGAGCCAAAAACAATTTTCAAAACCCTCCATATGTTTGGTATAAGTCAAATGTTTGTGGACCGGGTTGTTGATAGGTACAATGTATAGTACAATGTAACCTCCATCGTTTGTGACAAAAAAGATCCGGCCGTTCACGTACGAGAAAGAAGATCACAGCAGTAAATGAAAGAATTTGAAGAAATCCTGTCTGAAAGCAAAAGATTTTATCTCACGAGGTAAAGATAGCACCTAGAACCATGCCCTTTTTTAAAAGATGACTTAGGACTTGCAGCCGTAATAGACGCACTGGTCACCTCTTAACAGGTAATTTAAAAAATAATAAAGTGGTAAAATCCAAACAACTACTTATGCGGTATGCAAAGGGGGGTCACAGAAATTTTTTGTTAACGTTTTATTTCTGATCTCTATTATAGTGGTATAGTGTCTCTCTGTCTCTATATATCTCTGTTGCTGCAGTTGTCATGGCAAACTTGAAGAAAGTCTGCTTTTTGATGTATCAAACTTGTTGCAAGACAGAAACAAGTTTCAAATGCTATCTGGGTTATCTTAAAAATACACCTTACCCAAAAATAGCACCAAGGAACTTATAAGTTCCTTGTATAGCACAAAATTATGTTATAGTACGGTTGGTACATAAAAACATGTTATTCCAGACTGAGCGAACAAACGGACAACATGAGATTCGGCGTTTACTGGCGCATGCCCCACACATTCCTTCGTCGTTTGAGATGAAGTATTAAAAAAAAGAAAGCACTAAAAAAGCACCTCCTCTAGATGGCGACTCTATCAAATGTTTATTTTGCTGGAAACGAATGGACCAAAGATAGCCATTTCTGTTTCTTTTAACTAACATTTAAAAAAACTGAAATTCGCAAAGTTCGAAACTTAGATATCATTACAAATACGAAAAAGTACAAATTTAATATGTGTTGTTTATTTAGTTTTGAAAACTAATTTACTTTTATACATGAAATAAAACCGAAAGGGTTGTCATCGAGAAATCAAGAAAGTGTCGTAGCGACATCGAGTTTGATTTTGGAAACTAATGTTTTTTGAAGTACTTCCTCATTAGTATAAACTTTTATTTACGATAATCCTTCCTTCTTCATTAGTAGTTATCTTTTATTTTTCTAAAGAAGCAATGATGATTATGATCAGAAAATGTGTTTTGATTTCTTTGGCCATACGTTTGACCATATTTTTAGCAGTTCCTAATACAGATATTAGGTTCAAGGCTTTTCTGTCTACACTGCTGAATGTTATGCCATTTATTAGGCCTTTTTATACATAAGTGACATAAATAGTAATGACTTTTTGATTTTGTCCGATTCCCAAAGTGCATTTAATGCAAACGATTTGGCATACGACTAGTACTTGTCGTCTACCTGGAACACAAGAAAACAACGATACCCAGTAACCTCAAAGACTTACTAAAAGAATTCAAGAACTACTAACCACTTTACGTTATATATGTATAACCAAGATTTAGTTTCATTCTCAATACAATTATATAATGTATGGCTCAAAAGGACTTGAATCCCCAAAGCCGTTAACTCAATAAAAAAAAAAAAAAATTTTTGAGGTTATGATTGTCGGAGATTATATTTATTTTGTAGCTCGTTTTTATTATAGACTGTTTTAACTTTATCAATTCTTATGTGTCTGAGTCACTATAATGTGTTCTTGCCTTCCTTCAAATTCTGAAACTATTTCGTCGATACAGCAGTCACACACATCCACAGTGATTGTTTTTTTATTTCAAATTTCTACATAACTATAACACAAATTTTATATAAAGAAGTGTGTATAGTTTAAATAGAATCCAAGCGCAATTATCGGTGCGATTAAGCATAATAAGCTGAAAAGTAACTGGGTCATAATTATGTTGGAAGCGTTTGGTAAGCAATTTTGAATGATTTTTAATTTACTTATCATTATCATATCGTTGAGAAAATGCCCGTTATTTCTACATACGTTTTCCTAGACTTGGAAACCACGGGTCTACCAGTTGAAGAACATAATAAGACGAAAATAACAGAAATAAGTATGGTGGCGGTAAAAAGAGAACATGTTTTGGACACACGACCGGGTGCATCGCCCCGCGTACAAAATAAAGTAACATTGTGTTTGAATCCTGGAAGATTTATACATCCGGACTGCACTAAAGTGACAGGGCTGTGCAACGATTTATTGGAACACGAGTCTCAGTTTGATCTCAAAGTGTTTCATATAATTAATAATTTTCTTGATATATTACAAAAACCTGTATGTTTGATAGCTCAAAATGGTACTTGTTTTGATTTCCCTATTGTGAAAAGACAGTTAGAGAAATTAGGTGCAAATTTTTCTGATGATCTCATGTGTGCTGATTGTTATCATGCATTCTATGATATACTTGAATTTAGGAAAAAGTCAATGAGAAGCTATGAATTGATTCGGGAGCCTACTGTTACTACTACAATATCTGAGACTGACAATTCTACAGTTATACCTGATAATGATAATCTCTTAAAACAAGAAAATACATTAAATATGAAGACTGTAAATGAAACAACACCAAAAAGATCTGTTAACAGCTATAAATTTGTCCACAAAAATGTATGTAAAGCTAAACGAAGATTCCCATGGTCAGGTGAGAAGCCAAAGGAATCTTACAAACTCGCAAACATTTATGAGAGAGTGATGAACCGGCCTGCATTAGAAGCTCATCGTGCTGAAAACGACTGTATTTTGGCTTTAGAGTGTGCTGTCGCATTGGGTAAAGATTTTGTAGACTGGGTGGATAATAACCACTATCTGTTTACAGATGTAAAACCAATGACTATTGGAGTACGTTTGGGATCGTGACATCTCAATACTACATAGATTTAAGATCCTATTATAAGGTAACTATCAACTTTCAATTGCATATAATAAATTAAAATCTTGGTTCTTAAATGTAATGAAAATGTTAGAGCGAGACAGAGACATGCATGTATGATCTTGTTGGCTAAGTATCTTATTTCAAAATCTATTGCAGTCCCTTACAGAGGTATAGAGATTGTGATAGTGATATGGAATCATGAAAGTTTTAAAGTCTCAATTGCTTTTGAAATGAATGATGATTTGTATGATCAAGAAACATAATCAAATCCTAGTTAAACCCGTCAAAGGTTGAGCTCTTTTGTTTGACAATTCTCAATAGTTTTCAAAGATATTTTCATATGATGCTTTTTTTAGACAATTCCAATTAACATCAAATTAAAGATATTGTTCCGTCAATCTTTCACAAAATGTCCCAAATCACTATCACATGTCTAATAGTTGTAGTATAAACTTTGTGAATGTCAAATTGATATGATACATTTTAAAATAAGACATTTAGCCCCCCTGATTCAATGACTGAAATTAAATTGTCACAATAAACTCATGGTAAGGTCTTGGATCTCATAGTCGAGATATATTTCATTATATGGTGCAATATTTAGTTATGTATAATTTTCAGGTTTGTATGAGCATTATTTTTTAAAATATGGTCTTTGCAAGACCCTTTCCTCTAATAAAACTTAGTCATACAATATTGCAATATATTTTTTAGTATTTTTTGTATGATTCTCAATATAGCTAATTAGCTTTAAATTTAAGTTTTTCATGTTTATTGTTTTATATATATATCTTGTACATATGAACAAGATGAAATTGACACTTATTTACCAAAAATGTTTAAATCTTAGAAAAAGACTATATTATTTATTTGTATATTATGCTATACTGCAGTGTATTTAATCTCATCACTTTTGGAATGGTTGACAGGAATTTTAAGTGTTTTGTACCACCAATTTGGGCAAATTCGGACTTTTAGTAAATTCTGTTAACATTAATAGATAAATGAAACATCAAGGTTTCTGTTTTCAAATATATTTAATTTTGAGTTGCCATACAAAAAGGTTAACAACCCCTTGAACATAGGATGTTTTTAATCAGTTAATATACAATTTTTACACATTTTAATAAATTGAACATTATGTACTTATGTACAGTCATCAGGATGTTGAGACTACACAAAACTATCGAATGTGTCCACATGATTTTAAACCTTAATGCATTTAAATTAAAGTTCAAAATCAATTGAGCAAATTTTACATACATATTGTGGTACCCTGATGTGCAGTACAAAAAAAAGACAGACTGTTTTGTACATACTCTGGGTACAATAGGATGATCATAAGTAGCTATGTATGTGTGTCCATAACATTTTATTCTCCTTTAATGTTGAAGAAAGAAACTGACATATAGTAATTAATAGTTACAAATTAATGTGTACTGATATGTCATTAATAATGCATTATATAAAAGTATACCTAATAATTATACATTCAACGTCACATCAGGTTATTATAATTAAAAACTGTCAAGACTTCTATAATTTATTTTAAGCCTTCATTGTGAACTGTAGTCGAACATGTATTGTGCTGACTGGATCTCTACATGACTTGAAGGCTAATTCACCCTTGGGAACTTGGCTGATGTGTATACTGAATATAAATTAGTTTTATTATTATAATTAGTTTTATTATTTTATATTGTTATATACAATGAATTGTTTATAAGACTCGGATACATATTTTGTTTTTTAATAAAGTTTTTATGAGAATTAGTTGAACATTGTTTTATTTTAATAATTTAAAGATGGCTTAAAATTACTAAAATTGAGCAGAAATATATTATGGGTTCAAATTATCATTAAAATTAAGACTTGATTTTCATTGGTTCATATAATGCGGGGTTCCCTGACGACGAATCCCCCGCACCCTTCGTGCGGTCCCATCGCTCACTGAAAATGTATCCACGTTTCCGCTCCGCAAACCATATAAAGGGAATCCACGAAATATAGTCACATTTCTGCAAATTATTTGACTAGAAAATTAATAATATTAATATTGGTCACTTACCGACCGATACGCCATAGTAAGTATCAGGATTTATCGAAATGCCATTGATAAAGATAAAATTTATTTTATTTTAATATTATTCTAAATTACAATATGCTTATAATAATTATAAGTATTTTTTTATAGTAGGTTTCTGTAATCTGTAATTTGTATAGTAGGTATCTGTAATAAACTAAAACTATTTCTATTACATTACCGTTAGCAAATTCTATAAAATTCTAAACTCGCTAGTCTCGGCTGGAAAGAATATATTTTAATCTATTGCAGGAAAACGTTAAAATTTAGTAATGTAATTGGAAAACAATCAATTTAAATAAAAAAAAACTGACTTCGGATTTATAACCACTAACTTTGAATTCTGGTGGAATGTTTAAAGCCCCCTAATTACTTCTTAATTATATTTTGTTAGCTAATTATGTCGTTCAGAGACATACGTAACGCAGTGTATGTACATATTCTCCGATTTCAATTTTTATGTGTATTTGATTATAAATTAAGTAAATAAACATACATGATTTTAGGGCTCCTGGTATTGACAGGCGCGTTGTGGGGCTGTACTAACCCATTTATTCGTCAAGGAACGAAAGGTCTTCGAGACGTCCATGCTAAAACGTGGCTGGGGCAAGCATGGGCTGAAGTCAGCTTTCTGCTTGGGAATTGGCGAGTAAGTGTTAATAGCTAATTATAAATATCTCATATCAGTTATGTAGTTTTGTAGCTCTTAAAGATCCCCTGTGGAGGACATAATTAAAGTACTTGATTAGATGCAGCTTAGGTTTTCTTTGTAGTGTGTGAGTATAATATACACACTTATACACCATCTCCGCTCATTATTTATGTGTAGGTATATTATACGCATAGGCGTAACTAGATTCTGTGCTGGAGGGGGTATAATTAAAATTCTGGACTGTTAACTTCCATCGTTTCCGATATGCAAACGATGTATGTATGAGCAGACGATGCCAGAACTTGTATTTGCTCAGAACATGGATACGCCGATGGTTATGTACAGTCAACAACACATCAGACTATAAAAAGCTATAAAATTTCTTCACTCGCTTTCATAAATCTTAATAATTTGTGGGTAACGTTTAAAATCAACCAGAGGAGTTTGATATATCGTAGTAACCTAACATGCGGCCGTGTGTATATTGGTATGAAAGAAAAGTTATATGCTTAATTTATCCAATTATTAAATGATCATATATATCCAGTAATTAGTCGTTCTGATAAGGGTGTTAGAAATATTGACATTCTTTTATATATATTTCTACAGTTTAGAGTTGACTTGGAATAAATCTAATTTAATGATTGCAATTTATATATTTATATTATCTATTCATTGTATTAATTGATTGAAATCAGTGCATTGAGTAAATTAAATATCCGCCGAGTTTTCGTCCATTTCATTGTTGCGGCACGCATACTGTTAATCTGTGATGTGTCGTGTGTGCCTTACTGCATTTTTTTTAATTGGCTTTATTATTTTATATACTGTACAGATATCTTTTGTATGAAATGTACATGTGTGCGACATGATGACGCAAATAAGAGCTGCCCTTCCTTACCATAGATCGGTATATTGTCTCACAGTATGTGTTGCCGTGGTTGGTAAACCAGAGCGGTTCGCTGGCGTATTTAGCGGCAGTGCAGCGGGCTCCGTTGTCAGTGGCTGTGCCGACAGCTAACAGTCTCGCGTTCGCGTTCACCGCTGTAGTTGGCGCTGTAATAGGTGCCGAGGAACCTCTCAATAGAGGTAAGGATAAATATATGTAAAGCTAGTAACCTTTGTTTTGGATTTACGAGTGTAGGTAATTAAAATATATTGAACTTCTAGGGTCCGTCATGGGGATTGCTCTCATCGTGCTCGGAACAGCTCTGTGCTGCATGGATAAGACAAGTTGATGAGACTTAAAGTAAGGTTAAGACAAAGTTGCGTCACACTTGATATTCGAAGAAAATATATTACTTAGATATGTAGTCACATGTTGATAAGCAACATTGATCGTGTAAACTGACTCAATATTTATGAGACACTACTGTTAGGGTGTGTATAGACAATATAAAATTTATTCAACGAAACATCCTTATTAATAAATTGGTAGATAAACTACAGAATCAAACAATTTGTAATATTCATTCACTTTATTTATATATTCTTACATTTAAACAAAATATTGCACTGTATATTAATTTATAGTATATAATAGTTAAATAATACCTAATTTACTTTGCGGGATATTTACATTGTTTTTAAACTGATTACATTTTAATGAGCAATTATTATAAATAACTTGTGATCTCGTTGTTAATGAAGTTATAATGATTATTAAAAGAAATTCTAACAAGTTTTCTAATGAGTAGGTAAATTATTTCAATATTAACCTTACGTTTTGTTTTACGTTTGCACATTCCATGTTAACATAGTTAATTCATATAAGCAAATTATTTAGGCTACGCTATGATTAAGCTTTTTCCTATTAATCTGTGACTAAAGTTATGTAAAACAAAAGAAGTAGGTACATACATAGTTTTTCACTGAAATATGTAATGTATTAGCATTATAACGCAAATAGAAGCGACATTGTAGTGTCTTATCATCTGTAAAGATTGTTCACTGTTATAGAATATATTTACAATTAATTTATTACTATATAACATCTGCGATGCTTGCCTATTTAGATAATTGTAATAGTATTAATCACTAAACCTATTTATAAGTAATTTTGATATAGATACTTATGATTTCTTTAAATAAATGTTCTATTTACACTGAATAGCAATGTATTTTGTTTTATCTATATGATTACAATAATAATTTTACGGTATTTTGAGTGAAATTAGGTAATTATAAATAAATAGAATCACTGTCTTTACAAGAAGTGAAAAAAAAAAGTCAATAAAAATGTCATTATTTTATCAAAATTATACTTATACTTAGTAATGACTAAGAAAGAGAAAAATATATGTTTGTTAGCTATCATTTGCTAAAGAAATTACTGATCACTAGCTATTGTTCATTATTGTTTTTGTTTTTAGTTTGATTTGATGAGACCAGAAGATTCTAACTAATGAAAACAGGCCCGACTGGATGTTTTTGAAAAGTTGAAAATGAATTCTTAGCGATTAATTAAAATACTTTTTTTCTGATTAAGATGCTTAATCCGATTTCTATTCTGTTTTGCAACATAACCTCAAAATCTTTATTTTATCATAACTCAGTTTCTTGTTTGCAAAAGTTTTTATAAAAATTTATATTAATAACAATGTTTTATGGACATTTGTAACATAAATAAACCAGTAACATCATTAAACATCAACATTTAAAAAAAAATAACGGCATCATTTGTATGGGGGTGAACATTCTTATTTGAAAATCATAAAATCCTGAAGGCAACATACTGATTGAACGCTATTATTAAGCCGCGGCTACATCGGCGGCTCGTTCCGTGTGTTTCGCGTGTCGAGCAAATGTATGAATTCTAGTATACACCCGCCCGTGACGTCACACGAATAGGGTTACATATAACTGTCGCTTTTCACTAATTATATATCTAAGGGGTTAAAGGTTAATATGTTGAGATTATTTATAATATTTTCCCGCAAAACAATACATATAAAGAAAAAAAAAAACTTAAAGCATGTCCTATGGTCTCTATTTGTCTCTGGAAATATCTTTTTTTAGTTAATTATAATATCCTCATTGTTATTAGACTGATTTTAACTTAGAAATTATGATGAGTGCGTGACGATTTTAATATGATTCTGCAGTATAATATTGTAATCTCTTGTACGATTCCCGCCAACCGGACGACGTAGTCGGCTCCTTCGACTAACAGTCGTAATATAAGTAATTTTCGTGTATCTAAAAGCATAAGCGTTGGCTAATATTGATTACCTTGAATGTGAACAGGAATATAATAGAAAATACAAAATAAAAATTATAAAAGTATTTGAAACGGGATTGTTAACGAAATTTGTGTACTCTGATTAATGTTCGACGGTTTTAGGAGTAAATAAAGAACCCTTATAGTTTCGCCATGTCTGTCCGTCCATCTGCGATTTTGCTCAAACACTACCGATAATAGAAAATTGTAATTTTTTTTAGGGTTGTGTCATAGAAAATAATAAAAGTGTTTTTTTATTTTTTTGTAATGGATAATGGTACAGAACCCAACTAGCGCGAGTTGACTCGCAGTTGGCCGGCTTTGATATTGTTATGTTACGTGTCGCAGCCAAGTGGCATAATCAGACGACCAATTGGGTAGCTCGCCCTTCTGAATGTCGCCATTCAATTGATCAGCCGACATTCTGAACGAGCTGACATTCGATCAGCCGAGTTGCTGAGTCAACTAATTCACCGTCAGCTCAACGGGAATACCGAAATTTATTGGTAGGACTAGAAGTAAAATAAAATAAATATTATAGTGGGATGGGTGATTATAATTAAAACTTAAACACTCCTTATCACGATCTGTAATCACATATACAGGACCGCCCTGCGATTCTGTAAAAAATCCAGACCCAAAGAAATTCTATAGATTCCATTTTTATATATGAAATATCAAAACAAAATTCATTGAATACACGTGTCTCGGATATTCTATTCCTGTGTCATTATGAAACTCACTTCACTTATGCCACGAACCGTTATTACCGATTCAAGGTTGAGCGGATGCCGCCGTTGGAAGTGAACCCGGACACCTGAGTGAATTCGAATTCGAATATTTACAGAATCGCAGGGCAGAACAAAAAGATGATAACAAACTGCCCATTCGCGACTGGGTGTTAATGGTCCGTATGATTCATCAAAGGCGACACAGGTAGCTAACGTACACACTGTTAACGCAAGTGGATGAACCTTAAACTTTTTTTTTTTTTCATTTCTCAACCTTAAGGGTTCGGAACCACCTTCCCATCAACGGAGGAAGGAGGCGGTGAATCCTTCATTGGATACAAACACAGCCGGCTGTGAGGGTTATGTCAGACTCCTACTGACTAAACACCGCCTTGGACTAATGGTTACATGCCCGGAGGCAACGAACCTTCAACCGGAGCGACCGCCCCCCCTCAAGGGGGGGGGGGCGCAGAACTTTTATAATAAATTCTTAATAAAAATACAGTTAGAAAAAGAGAGTACTGTGATTCAGACTGCCACAACTCCATCTAACGAAAATGAGAGTGAGCAATGCATTTGACTACGATTGTTTTAGTATGTTTATAACTATTTCGAAGTTTGGTGCTACAATAATCAATAAAAAGATGAAATGATAAACAACGAAGTTATCTTGGTTCTTTAGGTCACGTCAAAGGTGCGAAATTTTTTATTTTTATAACTGATAGAACGTTAACTCAGCCGTCTAGTTGAACAGTCTCAATATTATATTAATTCAACTAGAAAACTAGGCGTGTAATTGAATGGCTCCATTCAATTAAATGGCTAGCTACCCAATTGAACGACTATTTTATCCAGTTAGCTGCGACATATGTATAATAGATGTTTCAATAGTTATATTAGTAATTTCTTATAGCTTCGATAGTAGCGCACAGTTTCTGTATGGACGTGCGCAGGCTGTTTTCCTCGACGGCGAGGTGCTGACGCTCGGCGAGCAGAGCCCGCGCGCGGTCCGAGTCGCGCGACGCGGCGCGGGTCACGTGCGCGCACTCCACGCGCAGCGACGTATTGCGCCGGTGCAGATCCGCTATCTCTTTCCTTCGTGCTAGATTCAGACAGACGAATAATGAAAAGATGGAAAAAATCTTATCTTAACAAATACGAAAACACTAATACTTTCATGGCTCACATGCTCAGTTTGATTAGACATCGTTACCGACTCCGATGTCCGAGGCTATGATCGATCAATTAGCTGATGGATTGGGAAGGAAATAACTTTTATTTAGTAGTTTTACGTACCCGTGTCAAATTCTTTATAACTCTTCATGATGGCCTCTAACCCTAGCCACGACAGTGTGTCCTCTGCCTGACAGCTAAAATCTTGAGTTTTGTTCGCTTTAGGTTCTTCCTTGAACATTTCCTTCACTCCCGCAGCTGAACTCTGTGGTTCATCCATAGACGTAGCTTGAGTCGACACTGCTGTGTTCTGCTCTTGTGTCGTCCTCAAGGATATAATCTTAGATATATTGGGTATGTTAATACTAGGATAATTGTTGTGTTCCGGCTTGAGTTTAGGTTTTTGGATATTCTCGCTATCGAATCCAGGATTCAGGTCTCTTTTTCTAGTCTCCTGGCCGCTGAAGAGCTTCACGCTTCTGTCGGCCAACTTTGATAACCTGTTCAGCTCTGAGAAGTTCTTTTCAGCCAATACTCTTATACTGTCACCGTCTGTTCTGTAGGAATTGGAATCTAATCGCTTTTTTATTAAATTGTTAGTTTCGTTGACACTCTTCTTGATCTCTGTTAGTATCCGGAGCTGACCGTTCGTGTCCAAGTCTACGTCTGACCTTAATTGCTTCGTTCTGGCGTCGTCATGTACGCTTCCATCTCGTCGTTTCCTCTCTTTAAGGATAACTTGCCATACTCTTTCGTATCCTGAAATTGTGGAAATAATCTTAAATATATAATTTAGTATACATGTACAACGGAAGTTTGAGGAAGTGAATAAAATAAATTAAGACAGTTGAATTTTTAGTCGTGTAAGAATATAAAGTTTTTCACCTTAAAGGGACCAAATAAGGTCAAACTCCTGCAAGACTCACCTTCTTTGTATTTTGTAGAAACTTGCATCAACTTCAACTGGGATAGGAACATTTGTTTCCGCTGCAAACATATACCGTTCTCCATTTCTTTTGGTTCGGATTCTTCTGTAAGTTTTATTGGTGTCAGAGCTTCCCTTAATATAGGAGCATCTAGAGTATCTTCCTCACACGTAATTTTATCAAGGCGCCCGGCTGCTATGTAAGCTGATGCAACGGAATCACATTTTAGGATTTTCTCTTGACGTTCAAGTTCTTTTTCTGGAAGGAAATAAAAATTATTATGAAGTACATATAACTTAAGTTTAATTCAGTGTTCTAGATTACTTTTTCCTTTGTTTTGAATTTAGTGTTGGATAAATTGCCTAGTTATTTTTTACCTTTATATGTTTCAAGTGTTGCTAGTCTGAGAGAAGACATAAATTCAACTTTGCCATTATCATTCTCTGACTTCTCTGTGAATTCCTTTATTATTGAGTTGTATTCTTTCAATTCGTCCTCACCATAATCACTATCGCTTTCACTCGCGCCTTCTTCAACAGTAATTTTAGTATTTGCAAATTCTTTGTAGATCTCTGCTGACATTTTTTCAGGTGTTATTATATTTTTACGACTCTCCGTTTTCTCTTTCTCTTGAGATTTTTTTATATCGCTCTTTAGTTCTTTTGATTCGCGATTGCTAAGATATTTCAGTCGTCGCAGTTTTCTTCGTTTTTCATATATATCTAATGAACTTACTTCCTCTATTCTGGATATTTTAGGTCTTATATTTGTAATGACAATCTTCGGTTGTAATTTTGAATCCATTTGGTAGGGACACGCTATGAAAAGCTTATCACTCGATTTGTTTTGTTCAAAGGGCTTGGAAAAATCCTTTTTATTTTGACCTACGAATTTGGAGTACTCCATGTTTATGAACGGTTTATTGTCAGATTCAACAATCATTGGAACTTGATATACTATCTGAGGGTTCATTATCACTTTCTGATTAGTCGTTTGAAACACTAAATCAGTTTTGTTATTTTTATTTGATAATGTTTGCAGAACATTATTACTGGATTTTAATACATGTATTTCTTTACTAACAGTGATATTTTGGGATTTATTATTCTTTATGTGTGCATTAGAATCTATATTACTTGTTACAGTAGTTGTTTCTGATGTTTTGTTTTCATTTGATGGTACTTTATTTGTCTTGAGCACGTCACTACTTTGTGTAACTTTTGTGTTATTTTTGATCATCATTAAATTTGCTGGAAATTGCACGTTGCTAAGGTAGAGAAAGTTAGGTTGTAATACAACATTTTTTGTCTCATTCTGATTAGGTTTATCTATTTTACCTTTGCTCTTCAAGTCTTGTTCTTGTGACGTTCCTTGCGATTTCTCCTTCACGACTATCTTATTGCCATATATTTGATTTTCTGTGATTAAGTTTTCAAAATCATTTTCGTCGCAGTTTTCTTGATGGAGCCGTTTCAAAGCGACGACTTTCGAAGAAATGCTGCCGTCGTTGACAACCTCTTCTTTACATTTTTTATTTTGGTTTGACAATCGTGAAGGAGCTTGCAGGTTTTTTGAATCAAAATTAGTTCTTTGAAGTAAAACTTGGGGATTTTGTTGCTGAATGGTTAGCAACATTTTAGAACTAGTAGCGTTCTTGTTTTGTATGAACAATATTTGATTTTTTTGTTCGTTGAATGACCCATCTGGTGGTTTATTAAGAAAACCTGTTTTATTGGTTTCTACATTTATGGGATTGAACAATGGTCTAGATATAACATTAGATGATTGTGTTGTCATTGGAAGAGCTAAATCTTTTACATCAGTGGATATTTCAGATTTTGTATCGGGTTTCTTAAATTGAGTTTCTGTTTTGTTTATAGCTTCTGCGGCATTTATAAGTGTGCTGATGCTGTTATTTTGTGAGTTTCCTTTAACTTCTTTATTTTCTGAATCTAGGGCAGATTTGATGACAATGTTACTTTGTATTTCTACTCTTGATCCATTATCACATTGTTTATTTTGAAAGGGCTGACTCACAGGTACCTTTTTGGTTACAGTATTTGTAAAAACCGGATCGGGTGGAGTATTGACACATTTTAAATCTAATTTACTTATTGGAATGCTTGTTTTTAAGCTAAATCGTTCAGGCGTTTTTGTTTTGGTGTCTTTGTTTGGTATTTGGGATGGGATAGTTACAGTGGAGCCAGAGCCTTGGGTCAAGGAAGTTATACTCAGTTTACATTCTGATGTTTGGTTTGTGTCTACTGATACAGCTGGTATAATCTCGGGCGTAAAATGTTCTTCAAAATCAGTTTGAGGCTTTGGAATGGCTACTTGTGGTTGATTAGTTTGGGTATCTGTAAGCGTTTTCACATCAGTATATATTTTTTCTTCTACAATTGCTTCTGTCGTGACTATCTTTGGGAATGGTACGAAATCATTGCTGGTGACATCGTTTTGTACAGAAGCCTGATTTGGTTGAATCACTCCTGGAAAAGACACTGGTTGAAATGCAGAGTATCCTGGTATTGAATACAAATAACTGTTATAATTGGGATATCCTGGTTCAGCTTGTTTGGTAGCTGTCACACTTGGACTAGGATTCGGTATCGACGATGGAGAGATCTTCGGGGAATGTGATATAGGTTTGGGTTGGGTTAAAAAAGCAGGCTTTTCTGTAAATAGATTTGGTTCTTCTGTTGGTTTGAATGACTCCACTGGTTTCGGTAGTGGTGCTATGACTGCTGGAGGTGGAACGATGGGGTCTGGTGGTATGGGTGGTCTCTCTGGTGGTTCCGTAATAGTTGTTGTCAGTGGTGTAACAGGTAAGCACGATCGAACTGTGAACATAAAAAGCAAATGCTAAATATTTTATAACAAAATGTTTTTAAGTTTTAACTAATACAGAACCTGATAATAAAAATGACTGCGAATCTTTCGAACATATGTAGTTTTCTACTGAGAATAAAAAAAAAACAATAAAAGCTAAAGAAGCATGCATTTATATAAAGCGTGGAAGCGTAAGCTGGCCTAGTAAGATACTTACAGCCATTTGCACAAACGTCCATTAAAATTTTCATTAGTTTAAAGCGACATATATAATTGACATCAATTAGAGCTTAAAGGCGTCATTAATCTTTGATGGACGTTTGTGCAACTGACCGATAGACATCTAAAATCTTTATGTACGATGACAGGAAGAATTATTTAGGTACATAGGACCTGTTTTATCCAAATAATTGAGTATACTTATAGAGTAATTTTTATTTAAATTTTGGCATAGATCGAAGCTCTGAAGCAGCCCTCCATCCCGTCAGTCTTGGTTATATAATATTTAAGCAGCACGTTAATATGAGATTTTCAGAGTCGAATACCTCCGATACCTACCTATAACACATATTTAAAGATATAACATATCTTATTTCTATGAACTTACACGTATGTTATTGTAGGGACTTCATTTGTTACTTTGTTGGTGTAGGGAAAAGGTTGTGTGGACAGTGCTGTGGTCGGTCATGTGCTATAATTTTGTCAATATTATAAAAAAAAAATGCCTTAAGCTGAGGTCTCCGTTAACTCACTTGGTTGGAAGCAGTCGTTTGGATTGCGAAAGATCGTGGGTTCGATTCCCGTCTCAGGCACCTGGGATTGGTGAATATTTAAGCATCTTTCTTTAAGCAAACACCAACTGTCTCATGTACCAGGCTGTACTAGAACCGGTGTCACTCTCCAGGAAAATTCTGTCATTTTTATTTACTTATTTTTCACTATAACTATCTTTTCTCCTCTTCTATACCATCTTCGGGTTCCTGCGAGTACTTACTTATCAGTTTCACAGCTTTGTAAGCGTATTAGGTAAAGCCGGAAATATATCTAACCCGCGTTGCGTGTCGCTGCGCATTCGGTTTCACAACACGTGGATATGTATGAAACCGAAAGAGCGACGACGACGACGACGAGTAGCGACACATCTCGTGGGTTAGACATCTGTTTTACACCTCATTTACATTGGTTTTAATTACCAATGTAAATAAAGCTTAAGCCTAAACAGCCGATAAAACTATTTGTATGAAACATCGTAGGTAACTATTAATATGACGTCATAATAATCATAAGAAACTGCATATCGGCATTTTTGCCGCAACCTAAATTTATGAATATTTATGTACATACAGCAGCATAATACTAAACTGTCAAATTTCGCCACTTGATTTAAAACCTTAACACATTGAAGGTAGAGTTCAAAATCATTGTGGAAATTTGATATATTTTGGTAACCTGACGTGCAGCCGTGTGCAAAAAATGCATTCTTTCATTTACATGGCATTTTTCCAACATTAGCACAGTCTTATTTTAGCATTCTTTAGCATAATAGTGTCTGCTAATAGAAGTAGGGAAACAACTTTTGAAAATGTCGATGGATGAGTCTGTCACTTATATTACACGCTTGTTTCATGAAATATATTACTTAAGATGCCTAATTATAGCATTTGTTCCATTCTGCTTTAGTATTTTTCATGCAGTATCGACAGAGTGTGCGAACACAAATTAGGGCAGGTTTTGGCCGATGCCCGCCCCCTTTTCGGCCATTTGGCACTTCAACTTTTTAAAATGTTACATTATGGCAAAACTAATACTAACCTTCGACTACAGTCATATATCAAAGTTCACTTCCTTTTAATTCTTGAAATATCCAAAACCAGGTCATAATCTTGCCCAAAACCCATCCAAAACCGGATCATCTGCCCTAATAAGTATTTTTTAATTTATATTTTTAACGAATATTACTAGTCTCTATAGTTAAATGTTATTTGTTAAGTATGACCTACCGAGTGTATCTTTCAAATTCAAAGCTCGACCAATGAAGTTTAAATCGCTGTCAATGGCAAAATACAGCATCGGACGCAGCGTTGAAAACAGCGCAGTCATCAGAGGTTCAGCAAATAAAAGCTTTATTACCTTGAAGTAAGTAAGTTTTATTTTATTGAATTTTATTTTAGTAATAATACTCAACCCCGGATAATAAATAGAGTGATGAACTCTATTCATTGAAACACCATCGACATACCATAAAACGTTAACGTGGCCCATAGTGGAATGCTATTGTTACAACTACGTACTGGGATTCTGCAGCAGTAACTCTTGAACACGTTAGGTACATACATTTTGATTAAATCCAATGCCAAAACGAAGTCAATGTAAAGCGGGAGGCCTGTATATTGTTTGTTATTGTCGACGAATAATGATATACTTACATTGTTACAGAATTTACTATTTGTTTTTACCCCAACATTTCAGGAATTCTATATATTTTATATTAAAAATCGCACGGTTATGTCGTTTTGCAAAAAATGTAATATGCGGGTTGTGATTCTTATACAACTATTGGAATCGGCATGGTGATAATTTAGTTAAATATATCAATTGAATAGTAAAATTTTTCTTTCATTACCTTTTTATCAGATCGATTGAAACTTTCAATTGCAGTGGAACAGCATGTTTTTTTTCCACGGACACGGTTTAATACGAATTTGGTTGAATATGCTGATTTCGTGAACCTTGATGGATAGATAGTTAAAATTTTCACATAAGATGCAATTCTGTTGCCACTATATGAAGAAATACTAAAAAATAGAATAAATATTTGCTTTTATTTAAATAAATAATGTTTTTGCTCGATACCGACAATTGCAGCAGGATGCTTTAAAATGTTTACAAAAGATTTGGCTATATAGGTATTCACTTTAAAAATGCATAATAAAAATACTCAAGTTGGCTCCCATACAAATACAACAGACTTGATATTTTTGCCGTTTTATAGATAACAGTACGGAACCATTCGCGCGGGAGTCCAACTCGCACTTAGCCGATTTTTTAATTTATCACAGGGTACTATAATTTACTATTTTAATTAATCAAATTAGATATATTACATAGAATTTTCATAATATTTCTTTCATCCATATGTGTAATGAATCACCTTATCATTCATATGCAAAAAAAAGTTTATTATAATAGAAATAGTTAAGTCAGTAGTAGCTTTTGTAAAGCTAATTTATTTGTGCTTGAATTTAGTTATGTACCTTATATACATAACTTTTACACGTAAATATAACTCTTTTCACTTTGATTACAGGATATCTGATCCAAGCATTACCGGTGTGAATTCAAACCGTGATCTCGGTTTAATTTTAGATTCGAAATAACACTTTGACTTGCTTATTGATATAATAGCTAAGGCATATAAACATTTGGGCTTAATCTTTCGCTTGGGAAATGTTTTCAAAGATGCTAATACTCTGAACATTTTATATTACGCTTACATTCGCAGCATTTTCGAATTTGATAGTGTAGTTTGGAACTCAGTATACAGTTCATAAGGATTGTGACAAGTTCTCGAAATAATTGAATTACAAAACTAGCTTTTATTGTAATGAATACGAAGAGGGTGCAAAAAAACATACACTTTCTAGTAAGCGACGCTATTTCGATTCTTTATTGCTGTACAAGTTAATTTTCAGTCATATTGATTTCGCTGCTCTGTTACAGAGAATTTCATTGAAAATTCCTCGATCCTCATCACGTTCTAAAGATACTTTTTATTTTGCGCTTATATCTTTATTAATTTGAGCAGAATATCTTTATTAGGAGAACATGTAGTTTTTAAAAAAACGTAGATTTTTAAATGATGTATGTACATGTCTTTTTCAATTTCACTATTAAGATTAGTTTTTAAAAGAAAAGTAGGAGAATTAATAATTCAATAATAAATAAAATTGTGAATTTATGTGCTTACTTACAAGCAAATAAATATATGAAAGATATAATTAATACCCCCTCATAATGGGTGAGTGTATGACCATAGTTTTGGTTGCTTATTGTTATATCCTGTTTATATGATGTCCGTCTTTTATGTGCACTGTTTATTGCTAATAGGTATTAGTATTATGAATCTATGGTGCTGTAGGTCTGTTTGTTAACAATAGCTTCAAATATGTTTATATGTTGACTGTTTGTTACCTGAATAAATAAATAAAATGTGTAATGTACGCTTTTTATACAAGGGAACAGCATTTTTGGTGCATGAAATATTAAGACTAATAATTATACTTTCTCGGTGGGATTTCAGTTCTGAAGTCAGATTTTTTGTATCAGCTTTAGTTTTTGAGATATAATCCAAATGCGTTTTTAAGAAAAATCAATTTTTTATTAAGAAAATATTCAGTAAATAACATTCCATCCAACAAGAAAAAAGTATATTTTGTTCCTTTGTGATATGTTTTAGTTGTAGTTTCTCAGTAAGTGAATTCATTTATTCATTCTTATGAGAAATTAATGAACCGTCAAATTAAGTTTCTGCTGAGGCACACACAGGTCATTCCTATGCATTAACCATAGCTACCCATGCCATTTGGGCAAGTGCGGATGAGTGTGTGTTAACGATTGCAGATGCAACCGAGACCAACGGCCTAACGTGCCTTCCGAAGCACGGAAACATTATGATTATAAATTTACGGTCACCCATTCTATGAGCGGCCCTTGCTAAAGTTACTTAACACTAGCATAGTAGACCGAACGCGTTAACCACTGCGCGCATGGTGGTGACCGCGCGGCGTCCTGCAACGAATATTCGGTTTTTCGTCCGCGCAGGCCGCGACAGTCACTTGTGACCGGTGCACTGTACTTACCCAGTTCCGGAGCTCAGTTGTCGCTTAAAATATTATAAAAAATAAATAAATATTAAAAAACATCACACAAACATTGCTCATTGTCAGATTCCAAGATGAGTAGCTAAAGCCCCCGTGTTATGTAGTATCTGAGACAAAGAAGGTACCACAACACTCAGATCCCGGATTATATAGAAAAGTTCATTCCCATAGGGTCATCGACCGGGAATCGAACCCGGGACTTCAGAGATGGCGACACTTTGAAACCGGCGCGGCGTGCGAACCACTCGGCTACGGAATACATTCTGTGGTATGTTGTGGATCGAAGTTTAATATTAAGAATTTATTATGAAGGTTTGGTGTGTATGTTAACATCTTGTATTAGATCATTCGGATCATTAACACCCAGTTGCGAATAAGCAGTTTGTTATTATCTTTTGTTCGTATCTTTATCGATTGCAGATCGTAAACAAGGAGTTCTATCAATTATTGGGCTGACCTTAATTTAGACGTATTGTAGAACATTGCGCTCAGTAAGTAGTTAGATTTAAGCCTATTAATTAAATGGCGCCATTTTATTAAAGGCCTAAGCCGCCCAACTGTACGGCTGATTTAACCACTTGGCTGCGATATACATAGTGTTTAAAGGTCGGTGCGAATCTGTTGGGAATCTATGAATATCATCCATCTTGGAATGTGTTCCCAAGTAGCACATAAATAATATATTAACTAAAATAAGTACCGATTTATGTCCTAAAGTCATACTAACATTTTTGATCAGCACTGGTCAAGTTTCGAATCTGTTTAAAGGCATTTATTTTATCTAATAATGCTTAATGCCATATTATGGTTAATAAAAAAAGTATACCAATGTCAAAACTCCTATTTAAGTATTGGGTAATATTAATATAAAGCTGTTATCGTATTTCGGTGATATGAAAAACATTATATATTATATAAGCATTAACGTAATATTATTTAGTGCACTTAGTTGTATTTAGTCATTTTCTAGAAACAAAGGTTTTCTAATGGCCTATGGTTGTATCGATTTAATGCTTATCCTATATACACATTGAATAAAGAACTAGTAAAACTTTAGCACCGATTTGTTCTTAAAGTATTCTTTAATCAAGCTCAAGCTCCTTTATCTTCTTAATCTATGCTTTTATAAAACATTAGGCTATATTTTGATCAATATTAAGTTATTTATAGAGATACAAGTAATAAATAGATCGTAATTATTTTTTATGTGAAATTAAAATGTAAAATTATTTTATGTATTGTATTGTAATGGTGGCATTTTATACGCATCGATGGCGCCATGGACAAAAAACGTTGGGAAAAACAAAGAAAACAGGTGGATATAAAAGAAAACTGAAAAAAGAGTATACTAATTTAATTGAAACTTTTAAAATCAAAATAAAAATGAAATAATCGTTTGATGATTATAAGCACTATAAGATACTTCTGAAGTGTTAAAATACGGCTGTACCTAAAATGGGAGTGTGTTATACGATGAATTACGAGCTCTTAGTTTTGTGTCTAACCATAATACGATTAACAGCTCTACTACACTATATTTGAATACCTAATGCTTTAATTTTACGAGTCGCCATTTGCTTTCTTTTTCCAATTCTTACAAAATATTTAAAGTCAACTGTGTCAGATGAAAAGGGGTAAATAATCATTTATTTTGTGCACAGATGCCTATAAAAGCAATTATGTTGTTAAAACAATGCTAAAAAGCCTAAAATTCAACAAAAAATTTTGCTACTAGGTTAAATTTTCTATTATTTTTATTATATTAAAGGAAGTTTGCGAAGGCGCGTGTATTTTACACCATAAACTTGTATATTTTACTCCACAAACTGATGTTTGCAGCTTATTTCACACATAACGAGCTGTTTAAATCAATATTAAAAAATACTTAAAAGACCAGCCAAGAGAACATGTCATGACACTTACACAAAACAATAACTTAAACCGATTATATATTTTTAAAATCTATTAAATATACTTTTTTTACAAAGGAAATAAAACAGTAAGCATTTTTATAATATTAAATTAACGTATTATAATTTTGATTTACGCATATCAATTGTAATATAGTCACAAAAAGTTCAATTAGCACTTTAAAGTGCTAATTGAACTTTTTGTGGCTATTAGAATGCTTTTACCCGACTTTATTAATGCTATTATACAAAAGTTGTAGTGCTATTGCACAGCTTTTATAAAGCTTAAAGTCGTACAAAGGGGGGGCCCAAATTTTACGTATAAGAGTCGTTTAAAAGAAATACGGTTGATATACGATTTTATTATAATGCTTAACGCTTGGACTCGTGCTATCATAAGTTTGATATAATGGTGTTTTGTGCTACTTGGGTTGGAACTAACAAAATATATTGACATTCAATCTTGCACCCAAGATGCATGATTCATTGCTTAGGCACTACGCTTTCTACCGTGCGCGATATTTTCGACGGATCTTCTGTCACTTTACACCGACAGACCCTTGAAGTTAAGGACTGGTACAGCCACGGAACTTCGTTTCATACCACTTTGTTCAGTAGTCCTGTAAACATGATGAGAAGGCAGAAGTATTTTAAAAGCAAGCGCTAACTGGTAGAGCGCCACGTTCCTCGCTGTTATCTGAATAATATTTTGAGTATATCTTGTACGCAATATTTTTATGATGTACAGAAATTGTTGCATTTATTATGTACATGTATTATTTATTAAATTACAATAAGAAAAAAAAAACAGTTCTCTAAAAGTTAATATTTCATTTAAATAATCGTCAGTTATTTATACTTACAATTGTTTATACTATATTTATTTATTCAACAGTGTATTTTATGCCTTTATGTAACATAGTATATAACTAATATTAGCTCAAAGGACCAGGCGATTCCAGTGTGGGAAAAGTTATATAAAGAATGACGTCATGTAGATGCTATTCCAAAGAAGAATCCGCCGACGAAACCGACTGTATAGCAGCTGTTCTTCTTCACGAACCTGACGGCATTCTCCATCAAGGCCTGACTGTGGCGAACCGACTCCCGAATACGTTCCCAGTTCACATTAATATACTCGTACTCACTCGCAAAGTGTAAGAGTATTATACTCCCGCCTAAACCGAAGGCAGCTATTTTACCTACCCTTATTATCGTCACTCCAGCCAACCAACCAGACAGTGTACCAAATAAAAGACTCCTACTAGAACCGCTAGATGATATGCTGTCGATAGCTGCGTCTATGTAAGATTTGCTGCCTGATGGTTTAATGTCTCCTTCATGTAGTTTAGATATCTCCCTCAGATCGAGGTCTGGAATGGGTCGGGCCATTCGAAAACATTGCACATACAGAGGTAACAGTGTCGGATTAGTTTGTAATTTTCGAGGAAAATTAGTTCAGTTTGTTTTGACAGTATTTACTTTTTAAGTACTGTCACGTAAATGACAATGCAACTCTTCTTGTCGCCTACAGATAGTTTTAATATAAACAATTATTCCCTGGTACTTGTTCCTAGATTTATATATTGTATCAATAGATCAACGGTGTCTCCCCTCATCTTCTTAATTCTTTATAGTGGTTATAACAATAGTATCTGCTATAAGCTTTTATTAGTTATTAGAGTATTATTGCTTATCGATAGTAGTAAGAGTCCCTTTCACAAGTATCACTCAGTTCTGAGCAGAACATTAAAAAACACAATTTTTAACTCTTTTTAATAAAAAATGCTTTAATAATGTACCAGCTTGAATTGCGAAAGGTTGCGGGTTCGAGTCCCATCTCGGGTACCTAGGGCTGGTGAATTTTTTAAGCGTTTTTTATTAAAATATTTATTAGTATAGCATTGTGAGTAGTGCCAAAATGATCAAATAAAATAATTTAAACCTCTTGTAATGTATGCAAGGTCCCATTCCACATAATTGAAATATAATGTGGTTACTGAGATCCTTTGCGTAATTTATGGCATTTAATGGTATCTTGAAGTGGTGAATACTCGCAGGATATCAAAAGTTTCAATGTTTTATGACTTCATGCTAAAATGACATAAAAGAATGAGCTTCGAATGTGCTATATTTAAGAAGATATATCGTGTAAATTGACGCCGTTGTGTCTGCCAAATGGGGGATTAAATTATAATCTAGTAACTTTTTTAGAATTGATTATAACAACAGTTCGACTATAGCACTGCCGGGCTGAATTCTGGTCGGCAGTGCCACAGCTAGAACTCTGACGAAGGGTTTTCGTAAACAACGTACTTTTGCTAATGATCCTATTTCACCGCACTAATAAATAAACGAGTAGATCGGTCAAGCGTTCTACTGTGATTGAAAAAGTACTTGTATTTTCATTTAGTAAAAGCCACATTAAATTGTCTACTTTTAATTTAGATTTATAAATATCGATCTCTAATTTTAGCTTATCAAGATAATCACAGAATTATGTATATAACTCAAAATCAGAATATCTATCTTTATTTCAATAATAGTTTTCGTGAAATTTCCTGACTGCTTTTTCACCACCATTATTTGCGGTCCCGGGTTCGATTCCCGGTCGGGTCAATGTATAAAATGAACTTTTCTATATTGACTCGGGTCTGGGTGTTGTGGTACCTTCGTTGTCTCAGATACTCCATAATACGGGGGCTTTAGCTACTCATCTTGGAATCTGAGCAATGTATGTGATGTTGTTAAATATTTATATTTATGTATTTATTTATTTATTTATATAGCGCACATTGGGTTCTATATCGAGTGGTATATTGAGTAAGTTTTAAGTCTATGTTTCAAGAGTAAGAGCTAAGATTTGATGAAAATGGAGTTCGACATTGGATTAGATTAAAATTGATACTGTTTGTAGAATAAACTCATTTTTTTTATAATATGATGATTATTTTTTGCAATACAGTCCTTCGAGCCGGATAGATATTATAACTACTCAAAGAATTTCATCAATCTGTGTGATAATGAGCTCATAATGACAACCTCTGTGGTCGTTGAGTTTGCACGTCAGTGCCATCCACTCAGTTTTCTGCCAGTTTAATGAATATTTACATCAGTTGATAGGGTCCGCGTGCGGAGTTTGGGAGTCGTCTGCGGGCTCGTTTGATTGACCGAGAAACCTACAACCGGCCAATTAAAATGAGACACAGGAATAGGGATGACGACTAATTTTTGTTTGTTTGTCCATCAGGTAGAGTGTTAAAAAATATTAAATACGTATTTTTTTAATTTTTTCCTAATCATAAAATTACGGCGTTACATTGAGTTGAAATTTCGCATGACGTCACGTTATGGTACGTTTTCTACTAAATTGTGACGTAGCTAGCCCCCACTCCTCAACTTGAATGCCTGTCATCTATACTATTTCTTGTTTAATTGAAGTAAAAAAAAAATACGTATCTAATATTTTTCTATTATCTGACTGACGGACTAAATAGAATTGCATTTTTTTACCTAGTCGTCATCCCTATTGCGTTTGCCCCACTCCATATGCAGACCCTACCGACAATGTTATCGGAATCTCTTCGATTAGAAAAAGACGATCGCGGTACCCTATCTTACTCTCTCTTTAAACTGGCAAATGTAGAGTAAAGTTATAAACAAAACATTGAACCATTCTATTACCTCGACGCTTAACCATGAGTTCGTGAGGAATAGGGCACCGTTAATAAATGTAAGACGGTACTGCGATTATTTCTTTTTCTAATCGAGACACAGTTTGAAGGTGTAGCTTCCCTGCTCTATCTAAAATCCTAAGAGTTAATGTATATCAGTTGTACAAAATTTTAACATCCAATGGCATTTTCACATTATTTTGTAACCCTGATTATGATTTGTATTATGATTTATCTCTTTTAAGGCTAAACTCACATTAGGCTGTTTTTGCATAGGCAATTCAGTTGCATGATTTTAGAGCCGAAATATTATATTATTATTCACGCATCTTTGTATCCATCCATACATAATGACGAGCATTAAGAAGACGAGACCAAACTCGCAAATAAAAAATGGATTAGGAATTTGTGCTATATGCACACGTCTGCACGTCAGGTTACCACAGTATGACCAATTTCTTCAATAGATTTTGTGCGACGTTATACACGAAATAAAACCGGAAGGGTTGTCACGGAAATATCAAGAAAGTACCGTAGCGAAGATGTCGCTGTTTAATTTCGGGAACTATTTTTTTAGTGACTTTAAAAAATCTTTACAAGATTTAAAATCAAGTAGGGAAATTTGTTAGTCTTAATTTATCTGACGTGACGACATTTGTAGCAGCATAATAAAAGTCCGTTGGTCTTGCCATTTTGACGTGGTGGGACAAGGTAAAAAAAAATACCTTAGGGGCAGATAATACCCAATTATATAAATTGGTAATGTACCAAATTTGGTACAACTGAAGTGGGGACCATCATTAAAGGATGATTAATATTAGAAAAACATATTCGATATTTAAAGAAAACTGAATATCGATGATTTTTGAAATAATTGACAAAGAAATAAAATTTATTAAGAAACAGAACAAATTATTACATAACTGACTGAAGGAAAAGTAATTTTGATAAAGATGAACCTTTTAATCTATTTCTCTGTTGATAAAAAGTAGAGCCAGCTTTTGAAAACATGTATGTAAAAACATATATTTTATATCATATATGAAAATTAAGTTTTAATTTTGTTCTATCAAAAACATCGACATTTTTGGTAATATAGCAACATAGTTGTTTTTGTTATCATCCTATCGTTCCAATCATACATAATTTTTAATATAGCACTTAATTATATATTAAGTAGTACAATTGATTTAGATATACCCCAGAGTAATTTTTTTCACCTGGTTCCGCTACTTTGACCAATGAATTTTTGATATATTGCTTTAGCCTTCAGAGGTACAAACAGTATATAAAAGTAGCACAATATTCCACATTCATTATTTTAATTTAGGGGTTCGGTCTCACCATATTGATGCTCACACAATGACAGTCGCTCAGATACAACGCAAGATGGTTTCATCCTCACCTAAAGCGTCGTAAGAGGTGTAACAAATTGTACTGTGAACTATTGTCTTAATACCTATGAACCTCCGCACACCAACACGAGTCGAACCGTCAGAATAGGGAATATGCATACATATACTTTCCATTTAACTGATATTTATTTATCAGTATAAATTAAGAAACAAAAATAAATGACCGATATTTTGGCGCGCTTTTCGTGACGTCAATGTCTACAACTAGGGATATGACAATGTAATAAAAATCGATTATTCAATTACTCTATATCGATTATCGACCTTCTAACGATTTTCTATTTATTGTAAAACACAAAATAGTCATGTTGAATATGCCTGTCACAGTATAAATAGGTTTGTTTATGAGCTAAAACGTCTCAGAAACATTACGAATAGAAATGTTATGTTGTCAGTTTATCATGCGTACAGTGTATCCATTATGCGGTATGGTCTCATTATATGGGGAATAGTTCTAAGCTTAAAAGAGCTTTTATTGTACAAAAAAGTACATAAGAGCAATGACTTATAAATCGCCGCGGGATTCATATAAACCATTATACATTATACGAGGCATGGTTAGTTGCCCTGACCATCATTATACAACGTGTCCCAAAATTCAACGATAAGCGGGCGCCAAGAGGTACCCTTGCTCATGTGTATTTATGGAAAAATAAGAAAAAAATTATATCTTATCTTTTTTATTATAAAATTAAATTCGAAAATTTACACCTTTTATGATATTTTCAACTACCACGACCACAACTTCTCAATTATGTTCAATCTTTTTTTGGTATCGGATACCTAAGTAGCACTACTATTCGCTACAACTCTTTCGAAAATTTTCGAATTTTATTTTATAATAAAAAAGATTAATAAGATATAATTTTTTTCTTATTTTTCCATAAGTACACATGAGCAGGTCTACCTCTTGGCGCCTGCTTATCGTTGAATTTTGGGACACGTTGTATATATTTGAAGCGTGTTTTCGCGAACTCGTAGGAATGTTAATAGTCTTGTTATGGATAGAATTCCGAAGTCGGATAAATACAATAATTCTCTATGTAAAGAATGTGTAAGGCTATATTATAAACTGCCGATCAACATTTAACAATTAGGGATAAAATTATTTAAAATAAAATTGTTTATATGGCTGACTGAATATAATTTTTATAGAGTTAAGCAATACTTGGGCATGTAATGTTAATAATTATAATGAGTTTATGACATTTATATCAAAAATTTGTTATCTTTCAATAATTATTTCATTTTTATTGTACTGGTATTAAATAATATATTTGCATGCTAATAATATAGCGAAACA